AGTAGAAGTATTAAATTAGTAGTGTTTAGTATAGCTTGTCTTTTTTCGACAATGGTACTAACCAAAGAAGGTATTGAACTAGTTGCTAAAGAGGTTCTTCGGTGGCCCGAAAGGAGGATATGGAATTCACGCAACAAAGATATGAGATTCAGAGCTTGCTTTGGAGCCCCGAGTGAAATAGTAGCAGATATCTGGAACAAAATAGTAGCTCKGGGACCAATTGAAGCTGCTGCTCGACCAAAGCATCTGCTTTGGGCTTTGATTCATCTTAAGGTATATTCAACAGTAGAGACCCACTGTGCTCTTGTAGGATGGCCTTCAGCCGAGACCTTTTCAAAGTGGTCCTGGTACTTTGTGAAGAGGATTGCAGAGCTGTGTGAGGACCTGATCCGACTCGACAAAAGATTTGATGGACAGAATGGAGCAACAACCAACTGCTTCATAAGCGTCGATGGAACAGACTGTCCTATCTTTGAACCATGGCCTTTCTCCCCTGACATGTATTCAAAGAAGATCAATGGACCAGGGTTGAAGTATGAAGTGGCTGTTTGCTTGAAGACAGGATACATTGTTTGGGTCAATGGTCCCTTCAAGGCAAGCGTGAACGACAATACTATATTTGAGGAGGGTTTGGGTACATATCTTCATCCACAGGAAGCTGTGGAAGCAGACAGGGGCTATGGGGGAGATCCCCGACTGAAGCATCCATCGATGGGGATCAACAGTGAGAAAAGAAAGATGAAATCAAATGCTCGTGCGCAGCAGGAAGCTGTAAATAGTAGATTGAAACAATTCAACGTGCTCACTACTCACTTCAGGCACATGAAGCCAAACAGGGAGACAATGATGGAGAGACACGGGCAGTGTTTCGATGCAGTTGCTGTGATTACACAGCTTAAGTTTCTTTCCGGGGCCACAGTCTTTGCCGATGGGCTCGATTACGATGTTCATTATTTCTAGTCGCACGAGCAGATAGCCTCAACAACACAGCGCAGATGCCCTTTGGCAAGGAAAGATGCCACTGCATCACTATTTACACTACTCAAGGAATACTGCTGTTCCCACTACTCCCGGAACCAGTGCTGTTCTGGGGGTCTCAGTAACCAACATCATCTCCGGCGCTTTAGAATACTGTTATTTTGAATGTGCGATGATTTTAGGCCGAAAGCTAATTTTAACAYGGCGTTTGTGTGCAAAGATAAAAACMAGCAACTGAAAGAACACGCTAAATTAGCACGCATGCGTGCTKGAGGGAAGTTAAGGTAAAGACACTAGGACACAGTACAATTTTGAACGCGGAATCAAAACCCTTCTATTTTGAGCAAAATGGCAAKGGTACCCMCTTGATTTGCTGTTTTCTACAGGGGTTTCTACACAGCTTTTGTACTACAGAGCTCCAAATAGATCCATTTTTCACATAGTTGTATCAGTATCTCTATCGCCACMGTACCGTACGTACCTAGTACTGTACGGTAATTTACCAGTAGAKGTTCGTACCTAATTATTTATTAAGTTCTAGATATAGCTCAATATTAATTAACGGCCGGCATATACTTTTATACATTAATGATTATATATATCGGTAATCCAACGGCTACCGAAAAGCTACTTTTAAGTAGCTTAAAAGCGACTTTAAAGCTGCTTTAAAGTAGCTTTTAAGCTACTTTTAAGCGGCTTTAAAGCTGCTTTAAAGCAGCTTTAAAGTCGCTTTAAAGCTGCTTTAAAGCAGCTTTAAAGTCGCTTAAAAGCTACTTTAAAGCAGCTTTAAAGCCAATTTAAAGTAGCTTAAAAGTAGCTTTTAAGCTACTTTAAAGCCGCTTTATAGTCGCTTAAAAGCTACTTCAAGAAAGTACCGTGAAAGCCGCTTTCCAGCTACTTATTATTCGCTTAATTAAAAGGTCTATTTCCCGGTGGGGTTGGTCGCCTTACATATGCTCAGTAGCCTTGCCGTAGGTCCAGTAGCTTTAAGTATCTGGTTATGAGAGTCGCACGTGACTCAGTAGCTGAGCCGTAGGTCCAGTAGCTTAGAGTAACCGGTAATGAGTCGTTTCGGAACGTCCCCGACTACGTACCCAAGTACTTTGTACCGTACCTCGGAGGTAACGTGCAGTAGTACTTACTTGTCAAATTTTTACGGTGCGAATGTTTGCTTCGTGCTTTCGATAGTAAATACTAACAGTACCGGTACGAGGTACGTCCTTACGAAGTGGTTTCCATCCTCTGTCGTCGGTACGTACCAGCTTCCTCTTACACACGATAGCTGCCATACCACCGCACGGTACTTCTGTTTGTTTCCTCTGCCTTCCCAATAGGCCTATCGGCACAAGAGGCTTTCATAGCACGCCGAGCCGAGCCAATTTCGGTCGCACACGGTGTCACATTCCAAAAAAACGAGACCAAAACAGAAGATGGAAGGCCTTGGAGGACCGGTAGATCTGGAACGATATTCTGCCGATGGAATCGATCCTTCACTCGAAGATTGTTGTCGGCGTGAGGTACGGCGATGATATGGCTGTGTGTAATGTTTCGAAAAACCACTTGGGCGTTCGAGAGGGATTGCACCACACAGCAGCAGTTCTTTTCCGACGTCTCGTGTTGAAATCTATCCCCTCAACTTATTTGTATGCCTTGTGTGCCCCTTAGGTAGTCGGCAATCGACGACACAATGCTCTCACAACGACCCTTCGGCGACACGATGTGGCGGCTCTCGCGGAACGCCGTCGTCGGCACCTGGTATCGATGCCCAACAATGCCGACGACGAAGCCTGCCGGTGTTCCTGCGACCCTAACAGCGACGGGGGCGAGTACAAAGCCCTGACGGAATTCAAAGAGCGAAAGCAACGAGAACATAGCGTATCAGAACAATACGAGGAGGAACAGCAGGAGCAGATTGCTCGGGAAGAGGCGGCTTACGAACGAAAAGCGGCTGTTGGGTCTGGCAACGACGACAGCGACAGCGACGACGAGTTTGACTATCTCCTCGACGAGGATTTCGGGGTGGAAGACGAAACAATCCGACTCCTAGAGGAAGAAAGGCGAGCAGAGCTGGAATATCAGGTGCTGGTGCGCCAGGTGGCCGGGCACCACGGATACGGCGTGCACCGGCAGCTGCATCCCACCCGTGTGCTAAGGATCGGTGGGCTGGGCAGGGACGCGGCCAAGAGCAAGGGGGTCCCGCCGCCCCCACAAGCGGTGGTGTTGCACCTGGTAGACCCGGAATCCATCACCAGCGCATCCCTGGACTACTACATCGAAAAAGAGCTCGCGCCGCAGTGCCCCGGCACCATGTTCCTGAGAAGCGGGGGCCGATCGGTCCTCTCTATGGATTCGGACCTGGCTCGGAAATCGCTGCCCCCCAACGTTCTCAACCCCGACCGGGACCTGCCGGCACTGGTAGCGATCCGCGATGGCGTTGCGATCCACGCATGCCCCCGGTTGCTCGGTCTCGGCGCGGAGGGCGGGGAGATCGAACCGGGCGCCGTGCGGCACTGGCTGGATCGCGCGCGCGTCCTGCGGACCGATCCGCCGTCGGACGACGTCTGCCTGATCCGCCCGGAGGAAGAAGCCCACATGGACTTTATGCTTTCCCAGGCGCAGCCGCCGGCGCCGGCGGCCCGTGAAGAGGAGGAGGACCACTACAATTGCGGCGTGGAGGGCTGCCACAAGTACTTCCGGCACGAGCACGTCGGTGTGAAAACGGAGGAGCAGAGTGGGCTAGTGGTGAAGGAAGACAAAATACTGGGGATGGGGGACTTTGAGTATTGCCAGTTTTTAGAAGAATAACGGCAAGGAATCTTTGAAATAATTATCGAAGGAGCGTCACCGGAAAATACCGTGGGCCACTCTATACTGAGGGGGTCGAAAACCGTGAATGGTATGCACGCAAGGAAATAGATACAGCACTACATAAATATAAACCAAGAACCGAAGTATGATAGCGCAGGCCAATGTACATGCATCGTGTTTCAATACAACACCAGCCTCGGTGATTTTGTTCGGGTGATTCCCCACAGTTTCAACACCAAGCACGGGCAGACGATCGAAGAATACATCGGTAGCACAATAGTATTTTGCAACAAAAGGCGCCTCTAGAAATAAGCTTGCTATTCTAGCGACGTTTCTCTTTGACGCGCCACTTTCCTTCCTTATCCCTTTGCGATCTTTGGACCATCGTCGTCGTCGTCTTTCTTGTTCGGCGATGCCTGTTGTTGGCTGCCCCAACCACCGCCCTCGGCGGCTTCTCGGCCCTGGTACTTTTGTTCTTCCTCGCCCTCAAAGGCACCCAGAGCGGCAAACTCTTTGCTCGCGGCCCGTCTCGCGGGAGCCGGCATCAGCACCTCGTCTATCAATCCGTATTGAACGGCCTCGTCGGAGCTCAGGTAAAAGTCTCTCTTCAGGTCCTCCTGGATCCGTTCCACGGGCTGGCCCGTCAGCTTGGCGAGCTCCTTTTCGCACCGGTCGTTCCACATTTTGATGTTTTTCACCTCCAGCACAATATCGGTCGCTTGTCCCCGCACCGGTTTGTCGAGTCCCATGCGCTGCAACAAGAACCGAGAATTGGGCATGGCTCTTCGCATTCCTTTCGTTCCCGCCGCACACAAGAATGATCCCATGCCGGTGCAGAGTCCGAGGTTGCATGTTTCGATTTCGACGCCCTGTTCCTTGGTCTGCTGGATCAAATCGTAAATGGCGAGTGCCGGACGCAACAACCCACCTGGAACGTTGAAGTAGAGAGAGATGCTGGGGATTGAAGATTCGCTTCTCATCCACAGAAGGATGGCGATAATTTCGTTCGCCGCCTCCTCGTCAATGAATCTGGAGATCATCAAGGTTCCGTCCCGGTACATGGCGGAGTTGATGTCCACCATTTGTGCCCGATCGGAATTCGGAGGCTGCAATGGTAGATTCGCAACGCCATTCGCGTTTTTTGTTCAATGTATGGGTCGACCGATCGATCGACCGGTCGTTCGTTTGTTTGTTTTTTGCGTTTTGACGTATCCCGTGAATCAGGGCCAGAAACAGTCCATCAGTAAGTCAAAGACGACAGATAATTTCAGATCGCAACGATCACGTTTGGATTTAAAAAAGCAAAACCGATCATTCAGTTTCGATGAGACACAGCAGGGTGGAGTCCAGTAAAAAGCACGGTTGTGATAGAGAGGAGAAGATCGAGAGAAGAAGAGTGTACAGAACGGAAAAAGTGAGACACGGGCAGAGACCAGAACGACAGATAGGGTTTGTATGATGATGTATGCAAGTGTAGTTTGCAAGCGAAGTTTCTTCCTCCCTCTACCCGATAGAAAAGGCATCCGGCGTCCGATTCGTGCAGGTCCGGAAGGCACCGGCTCCGGCGTCGCCCGGCGAGCCGAAACCGCCGCTGGACGTGCGTCGTGGAACGTACCTTCCATGGCACCATCGGGGTCGTGCTGGGCATTCGAATGGGCTCTCGCACGGTGGCATAATTCATAAATTGGCTGCTGCTTCCCGAGGCCTTTGTGACGGCCTTCTGGCTCAAGGTCGAGGGCGCGATGCCGGCATGGGGCTGAAAGAGTCGGTTCTGGGACGTTCGGAGGCTCTTGCTGTCGACGGAGAGGGCGGAAACGACGCTGTGGTCCAGGATCGCCGACAGAGCGCCGACGGCCAAGAGGCTGAATTGCAGTCTCATATTGGTAATTTTGGTTTGCGATCCACTGTTGCGGGGAGTATCGATGTGGTCTCGCCGGTGCGCTATCGTTTGAAGGCGTGATCGGGGAGGAGGAGTCTGGCTTTTGCTACGGGGACGCGACAACGAATAGTGCAGGGGGGGAACTGAACAAACTCAGTCGAAACGTGTGAAACATTGATATCGGTTCTCGTGACAGATGTAAGCAAGAGGGAACGGAATCCAACCGCTCAGACCTCCTCCCCGTCGTCGTCATCCGAGCGAGAAAAAAATATTCTTTCGAAGCATTCGAGCGACCTCCTAAATTCCCCCCGCCCCCTCGATTCCTTCCCCCGAAATAGTATTACTCAGACGAAGAGGAAGAAGAAAAACGGAAAACGAAAAACCTTCCGTCCGACAACAGATGTTCTCATTGGTAGAAATAGGACACGTCACGTAAGGTGCGGTGACAACCGTATACAACGGTACGGTATTTCCACCCGTTGCGCGCCAAAACGCTAGGACGGAACTACGATGAGAACAACAGCTGACTCCCGAGACGAACATCGGCAGGCTTCATTTTTTCATTGTTTAATTGCGCTATCGAGGCGCTGATGATCTGTCACCCGCCATCACCGGGAAAGAATTTTTGTTTTTATTTAGTGCTGCCGTAGCCGAACTCGGTGGGTCCGTCTCTCAATCACAAAACGACCGAGATTCCTTTTGACCCGATTCGACCCAATCTGTCCTGCCCCTGACCAAATTCTGTCTCGGGGCAAGAATCTCCTCAGCTGCTGTTTTCAGAAGAACAAAAACGGAATCGGGTGCAATGTTTGAAGTTGAGGCGAACTGTCACTATTCAAGATATCATCGGTGGCACGAGCAACAATAAGTATCCAACACGCAACATTCAGAGAAGAAGAATTGCGCCAAATCGAAACTCCAGACAATTCGTTCCCCCACTACCATATGCTGTAGAGCAGAGCAGATCCATCTGTCTGGTTTGACTGTTTTCTGTCATTGCCGAATCCATCGGATAGAGACTCTTCGCTTGTTTGTGAGCCCATAATACTACTTTAGACCAGCATCGATCGGCCTAGGACTCCCCAGAAAAAGGGTAAGAGGGACAAACCGTCCGTTCCGGTGTGAGCATCACCAGCTTTGTTCCMGTGGAACGATTTCTACCATCGAACAAGCTCTTGGCGGCAAGTAGTTGTTGCATTGTTTCGTTTGTTTATTAATTCCGTCTCTGTTCCTTTTTTCCCTCCCTGTCGTTGCACTCTGTAAGCAGGGCGTCGCACCGCAGAGCACAGAAACGAAACGAAACGCAAACCTCGGAACCAATGACCGACACGGATCGACGGGAACCACCGGCGTCCCGGCAAGGGATGCCAGCCACGCCGCAGCCGGGCTCGCCGCGCGGAAGACGCCGACCACAGGCACCGGTGAATCTGCTTCTCCTCGGCGTCGGCGTGCTGCTGCTTTCGCTGTGCGATGGCTTCGTCCCCGCCCTCGGACGAACCGCACCCCGCGGGCCGTGGGGGGCACCACCGACCGAGGTTTCGATGGTGAACGACTACGACCTCCGCGATCCCGACATGGTGGAACTGATGATGGGGGGCGTCCGGTACGAGAACGTTCCACTCCCGGACTCGATGCTCGACACGACCCTCTTCGTGGGGAACCTCTGCGAGTTCGTCAGGGATGAGGATCTCTCCGAGAAGTTCCGCTCCGTCACCAACCTGCAGTCGCTCCCGGCCTGCGTGGCGCGGAGGCCCAACAGCCAGTCCCTGCGGTACGGCTTTGTGGCCTTTCCAACGGTGGAAGAAAAAGAGGTGCGTCCGGGTGCCTGGCCGAGACCGGTACACGACACGATGGCATGGCATGGCATGGCACGATAGAACCCTGTTTTGCGCGAGAGGTGTGCACTGGACTTTTTTTTTTCTCACATTTTTTTTCGCCCGAATGATTTCCGCCGCATCGTGCCTCGTCTCCTTTCCGATTGCAAACGCACCAATGCAGGAAGCGATCATTCGCTTCCACGGGGTCGAGTTCCAGGGCCGACGGCTCAAGGTGGAGAACATCCTGGACCATCCCAGCAAGGGAAGGGTCAATGTTCCCGAAAAACTGGTCACGTACGTTTTGGGGGCTGCCAAAAAGACGCCGCGGGGGAAGAACGACTTTAGCCTGAGAAAGACCTCCAACCCTTCCAAGAGCAAGCGGAGGCATAACGGCGGCGGAAGGCACTCCGCGAACAGCAGCTACGGCAACGGAAAAAGCGGAAGCCACAACGGAAAAACCCAGGGTGGACGAAAAGGGGATCGCAAACAAAAGCGAGCCAATGTCAAGAAGAGGAGGAGGAGRGAGCGCGACCGAGATTTTTTCTTCTGACAACCGTCCCTAGGTTCGCGCCGGGTGCCTACTTTTCACTCGTGCTCGGATATCCCTCGCCCCGCGCCAATGCCCACAAAAACAATAGATCATTCATTTTCGTACGAGAGTAACACTTTTGAAATGGTTTCTAGGTTCTCCACCGAGGGCAGCATCTCACCCCACCTCTCGGGAGAAAGCGGAACAATCCGAAAATCAAACAGAGCTACCTATGCACCGATTAAGTCTTGTGACAGAATATAATGAAGTAAACATATCAAGAGGGTCTGTGATTGATCAACTTACTAAACTCTATGACATCGTGACATCGTTTCCCAGATTATCTTGCGAACACTCGTCGAGATTCAGCATGACCAGTTCGGTGTGCGCTTTATTCTGGATCCCGTGCTGTGTTTTTCTTTCTCGTGACTGCTCGTGATCCTTCTTGTGCATACCAGCAGGTGTCGACCAACTTGCTTTTACAATTGAAAGCAGTTTCATGACTGGAACTGCAGTTGAAGTACGCGATACCGGTCTTCGAGAACTCAGAGTTGTTTTCTTGATTCAGAAACCACAAATTTATGGACCAGCTGGGTGATGGAAATTTTCCCTCCTCCACCACCAGTAGTGGAGCTTTGGTTCCCGTTTTTGTCGAGAACGGCATTGGCGGTTTGGCTTTTTGATTCTAGCATCCCATCGATTTGCTTGTCCAAGTCGAAGGAACGAATCCAGTAAGACGTACAGTCTTTGACCTGGCCAATTCTCCGGATTCGGTCCTCGGCCTGTCTGGTTTCTCCGGGTGTCCACGGACGATCGAGCAAAATGATTGTAGAGGCAGCTGTCAGAGTGAGCCCGACACCACCGGCTCCGAAGGTGCACACGAAGACGGCCGAGAGCCCTTTTTGGAATCTATCCACCATTTCCTGCCGTTTCTTTTTTGGAGTTTCACCCGTGAGAAGGCTGCATTGCCATTTACTGGCAACGAGCTTGGAATGAATGCTTTTGGCCACTTGTGCAAAACTCGAAAAAATCACTATCGCGGGTTCCTTGTTGAGGATCGATCTTGCCATTTCGACCGTCGCATCGACTTTGGCAGCAGCACACACGACCCGAAGTCTCTGGACTGCACCAAGGACTGCCTCTTCTCTCATATTGCTGGAATTGGCCTGTATGCTGGCTAGATTTTTTATTGATTGTTCGTATTGAACTTGGAAACGGCTACTTACAGGCACATCGTGGAATATTTTGGTCATCGGTGGCAGTTCCGTTAAGCACTGCTCCTTCGTCATATGGAGAAGATTGGAAGCGACCTTTCTTCTTAGCTGATCTAGATTGGAAGCACCGCATGCGTCCCATTGAGGACCCCTTCCAAAATTTTTGATCATCCCATTGCAAAAATGAGCTTCGTAGGCTTTCTGGTGCCTTCCCAAGGGGTGTCGAACCGCTTTCAGCAATGGGAACAAATTTCCGGGCTTTCCATTTTTCATTGGAGTTCCAGTTAGCAATAGAACACCAACGCATCTTAAAGGAGTTTGATTCAAGAGAAATTGTTTTTTGCGAATGAAACAGATGAAGCCAGGGTCAAAAGCGTCAGAGTTTTTGTTCAAAGAAACTGCAGTCATGCATTCCTCGCGCGTGTCCTTGCGAGAAACTCCTTACCTCTTGTCATGCACTAAGTTCAATACATCTTTTGTGCGTTGTGATTGCGTGGATTGCATAGCATGCGCCTCGTCACAACACACAACAAAGTGTTCTACACAGGGTTCAATCGCTTTTGGAACTTTTGCCCAGCTGCATATTGACATTTTGAGGTCGCTGCCGTGCATTTTATCCACGTCCTCAATTTGGCAGTCTCCATCCTGGTGACTTTTCTTTCGTTTTGCGGGCTTTTTGGTTTTTCTTGCATTCGACTTGCTACCCCGACCGGGTTGGTCTTCCTCAACCCCCAATCCTACTTTTTCTTCCGCGGTGCGTTTCCATTCTTCCTTCAACGTCACCGGACAGATGACATACACCTTTAGTTTGTTGTGCCCAAAGGTGTCTTTGAATGCCTTGGACCAGACGGCGCCAATCAGCGTCTTGCCGAGTCCCATGTCGAGTGCCAAGATCATTCGTCGCATTGTGAGCCCACGAATGATGGCCTTCTTTTGGTGCGGGAACAAAGTCCAGCCGTTTCTAAGGGGGGCCGAAAGGTTGGCGTTTTTTATCAACGGCATGCGATATTGGTCTTGGATGGGCTTGACCTCGTCGGGACTGTATGCCAATTCAGGGGGGAGCCAGTCAGCTGTATCTTCGATTTTTTGGTGGCGGTGCTGTGGTTGGTTAGTAGTATCATTCTGGGAGGAGCTGTTTCCATAGGAGTGATTCGAAACGCTTTTGGTAGACACAGTGGGAATCGGTTGAGACCTACTGGAAGCGTTAGCAGAGGTTGTTGTTTTCTGCCACGAAGCGGGTCTAATAGATGCCATGCGTGATGGCAAAGCAACAGTGGTGTTCATAGCACTTTCCCCACGAACCACCGGTGCGATACCGTCAACAACGCTTGGCACTTTCGGTTGAGGTAGGCGCATTTTCCCATGTATTAGAGAATTTCCACCTGTTTCTTTCGACGAAACGCTGTTTCTCGCGTCTTTTCCATAACTATTCCTTCGTGTTAAACCAATTGTGTCGTTCCTGGCGGTTGTTTTTACGTAAGGGTTGTTAGGCTGAGTTTTTTGCATGGAACAAGGATCATTCATCGCTGTCGATGAGATTGTCGATAGTGATGTTTTATTCGGTAGTGTGGATACGATGGTGTGATTGGAATTTGTGGTTCCGTATGAATCTCTGATTGGATTTTGTGTGGGGGGACGGATAGTTCTCGATGGCAGTGTCGGAGGGAGTTTCGACAGAATCCCCGAATCATTTGAAGCAGAGTTTTTCATGTAGGGATTGGACAGAAGGGCTCTTTTTTGTAGCGGTCGACGAGTTGCTTTGGGGAGCGAGACCATTGTTGTTGATATTGTTGTTGCTGCTGCTGCTGCTGCTGGGAGTCTATCGGATGTTCTGAAACTTTTGTTGCCTATTCTGCCTAATACACCTTGTTGGACTTTCTCGTACATGTGGCTGCCGCTTTTGGCAAAATCTCTGTCTATTTGGTGTTTTTGATTCATCGAACGTTCTGGTGCGCCTAGAATGCGAGGACCGTGGTCCTGATGCTTATCGCTGACGGCAGAAGTTGGAAGGGGTCTCGAAACCGATCCACGCGAGCCGCTTGCCTGTGAATCAATGGAGGCCGTTGCTCCCCATCCAGCGGGTCGAGGGCGCTTCTTTGCATATGGATTGTATACCATCTCCTCTTTGGATAATCATCTACTTTTTTCGAGGCGTCGGGATCACAAGTTACCGCCGTTTGAAGAAGGTGGGAGCCTATGAGTTTCCATCCGACTGGTGAACTTGTGCAGTAAGAAAATGAGTTCCCGCCTTGATTGGCCTCTCCCAAATTTAAAAATGACACGGCGGGATTTCCGATCGGTACGTTCGTATCGTACAGTACGTACTACCGTGAGGTACGGTTATCTACTAGAGCTACTAAGTACGGGCCCCATAACGGCAAGTTATTGGCAATTTCCGTACGTCAATTTCTTCTCATTTTCCCGTCTCTATTTCCCCTCTCCCCCCATCCACACAAAAAACTATGAAGTCCAAAAATATTTCTATTCCTGGTCCTTACTAGTGAGAATATCAAATCAGTGCTTATCTTGAATATTTAGGACCACCAATAGAAATATTTTGGGACTAGCGAGAAATTAAACAATGGAAATATTTTTATTTTGGTCCATTGGATGCCTTTTTTAACTGGTTTTAACTGTAAAAATGAGCTAAAAATTTCTATTAGTATTTGTACGGGGATTGCCAATAACTTGCCATTATGGGGCCCGTACTTAGTAGCTCTATTATCTACAAGCTCGAGCCTCTCGTCAAAGGTGAATTACGTAGTCCGTCCGTCAACCGAGAGACAAACAATGAACTGGAACAGCCCGATCTCGACAAACTAAAAAACTATTACAGTATGTGTTTTTTCCCTCGATCGATTACTTTTAGGCTTCGTCCTCAATCCAGGGCATCAGTGCTATTCGCAACATCGAATGATGAAAGCAAGAGATAACATACTGGTGGATCAGAATTGAATCAAAGAGGGGTGAAGGAGAGTGAATCTAGATAAATTATACAATGAATTCGTCATTGGTAGTCGCATCCTCGGTTGCCCGCAGACTGCGACGAGCCTCGTCGACTTCCATACTGACAGGTTGGGGTACAGCTGCTTCGACGGCTGTTGCAAGCCTGTCCACTTTCGGCAACGCGTCGCTCACAAGAAGCAGTGGGAATGATACCATCGGCAGCAATCATCACGCTAACGCTGATGTTGCTGCTGCACCATGCGCGGTGCAACGTCGCTTCATGGGGAGCGGAGGCGGAACCCGCGGTGCCCGAGGACACGGGTGGTGGGTAAACTACCGGGCGGGAAAGGGAGGTCGGCACCTGCAGGGAACCTACAGCCATCTAGATTTGGAAAGCATGGAAAAGTGGAACGATGCTGTCTTTCAGCTGGGCCGGCAACTGGCCTACCTGGACGTCAAGGTTGAGGCCCTGGTGGACGAGGACAACGATAGTGGAGAAGACCAAAACGAACAGAGCCAGCAGCAACAGCAACAGGTTCACCGATTGACGCTAGAACTGGCCTCGGAAGCATTGCCCTTGGCCACGGACAATGTCGTGAAATTGCTACAATCTTCCAACCTGGGAGAAAACGATGGATCGGAAGAAAGCCCCGGATACCTCTCCTCGACCCTCCACCGGATCGAGAAGGGCGTCGGCATTTTGGGCGGTCTCGTCACCGATAATCCCAACCACAATCCAAACAATATGAACGCCCCTTTGACGAAGCGAAGAATGGGGCGCTGTCATCCCGATCACCGTATGAGAACTAGTCATACGGCCATGGATGTATCTAGCGAAAAATTAGTCCTCAACCATTTGCCCGGAGTCATCACCATGCTCCAGCCACGGATCGGAGAAATCGACTCGCGGTTCCTGATCTTGAGCCACAATGCGCCCCACCTTGATGGGGTGAGCGTTGCCGTTGGCCGGTTGGTGGACAGCCTGGAAATCGTTCAGGAATGGGAATCCTCTCTCATCACCTCACACGGGGTCCCGACCAACATGGTCTTGCGCGTTGTTGGTTGTGGGCTTCTGGAGGATGGTGACTCAAAGGCGACTGCTTCCAAGAACAGTAGCAGCAACGGTACTGAAGCCAGAGCGCAGCAAGAGTCGATGTAAATGGAATAAATCACTTAATAGACAACAAAAAATTGCCGACCTCAATTGCACAGCAAGTGGTACATAAACAACATCTATTCCATCGGTTATGGATACCTACCGCCATTACCGTTCTTTGAATTGCCTCAAGCTACAGTCATTACAATAATAGGTTCAACTTATTCTGTTGTGGCTGCTTATCAAAATCAAAGTACAGTAGTAGAATAGTATGAAAAAATTTCAATTTAAAAGATCCAATCTTTGTCTACCAGTGTTTTTGTAGTCCGCACGTGATAGATCACGAACATGATCATAAATGGTAACCATATGGTCACGTAACTTGTTGTGCTAGAAAAGATATCATGCAGAAATGGTCTCCTAGTACTACTACTACTAGTACTAGTAGTAGTAGTAGCAGCAAATCAATATTTCTCTCCAAGTAGTAGTACTAGTACTACTACTAGTAGTAGTAGCTAGTAGTAGTAGTACTAGTAGTAGAAACTGCATCATCCTTTTGTCACATAAAAGATCTGTCGTGTTACAATGTTGCTTGTACTAGTAGTAGTAGTAGTAATAATGGTATTCTGATGGATTTTGTATGGGGGGGGGGGTTCGACGTCTGACCTCCGCTCCCAACACTCTTGAATACTTCTACTGCACAATAGTACCGTACGTTCTAAGTATGTATGTATTGTAACAAACATACAACCGAATTTCGGTTCTACGGGAACTCTTTTAGTCCCTTTTGAATCAAACTTTTCATGCATTTTTTTCGATCGTCTCGGTCATTTTGGAAATTACAGTCTACGAAATCATCTGAATCTGATACCGAATACGGGGAATGATTGTGTGAACGAAGGCTGTTGAAACCGCAACAGCAGCTTCCACCCAATTGAGTATCCCATCCTGTCGAGTATTATCACAAGTATCACGCGAGACGGTCGTTGATAACGAACATTCTTCGGAGAAGCCAATTGGCAGCAGTAGCAGGATCTTTTCGGACGAGATACATCGAGCATGGCGACTCAGGGTGCAACGCCAACGACGGCTAGAGACGATGCGTCAATCCACAATGAAGAAAGTATTCGCGTACCTAAGACTATGGTGGAAGCCTTGGAATTTGACGATCCGTACAAAGCTCTGATGGCACTTTCCCAGAATTCACAAGAGAAAGCCACCGATCTATCTCACAAACTTATCTCTGAAATCAAGGAAAATTTGTCGCTGGACGGCGGTGGTCACCTCAACAATGGCAGCAGCCACAAAGATGGCAACAACAGGCTCAGCGACATTCTTCCCGACTTGTTGAAACGCCTACCCAACACAAAAGACGCGGACTCTCACCCTGTCGCAACGGCTATCGCCTGTTCGGATTCCATTCTCCATTCGCTCACGAAAATCGCCTCCGGGGGATCCCAGGCTTCGCAAGAAATTGTTCAGCTGGAACAAGAAAAGCGCGAACTGGAACAAAACGCTATTGACGTAGAAACGGCTCTTCGCCTACGAAAGGCTAGCGATCTGGCAGCCCAATCCCTCTCGGCTCAGCGATACGAGCAGGCAAGCGCGGCCATTCAGGATTACACACAGCTACAGAAAAAACACCGATTGACGAAACGAGCGAAAGCCTACGCAGGAGAGTACACGGTGACGCAACTGGATACTAGCAAAGCGACCCTGAGAGCCAAGTTACTGCAAGACTACCAGCAAGCAGTTCAGTCTTCCGACCTACAGGCTCTTGGAAAATTGACTCCGATGCTTCAAATGGTGGAATACGAAAAAGAGGCGCTGGCCCTTTACTTGCGCCTCTTGAAAGGTATTTTAAAGAGTGAATTGGTCAAAGCAGCATCAAATTCAATCGTTAACAACAACAACAAGCAGCGACCTTCTGGTCCACCTCCTCCGTACATTCGGATGGGAAGAGTTTATAACAGCGCGTTTACGATCTTGCGTCACCACTTGCCCATGGTATCGCATTGTTTGTACCGCGCCGAAGGTGATGCTGCGGTCGTTCAGCTAGTGAATGTTCAGATAGAAGATACCGTGTTGCCTCTCTTCGAAGAGTATATCTCGAGTCGTCAATTGGGACGCTCATCTCGCAATTCTCAGCGTATTTATGGTGTATTGGAATCCCGGTTGGTGTCCGAGGGTGTGGGTGGTAACGGAGGTGGTATCGGTGGAGTTCCCGTCGGCGGTAGCTCCGGCAGTCCTAGTTTCGACGATGCTGGATTTTCAACAGAAATTGGCAGCCTGGCAGATGTCGACACATCCATGGAGGAAGCAGTCTTGTGTTTGCAGCATGCTGAATCCTATACGCGATTCATTCAGCACACTTGCCGGGAAGTCAACAAGGCGCGAGCACTTCGATTTCAATCCGAACAAGAAGAACACAGAGTTGAACGCGAGCGCCGACAATGGACGATGGGGATGAAAAATGCCGATGAGGCCAAAGACGACGATGGCTTTAGTGAAGAGAAGGAGTATGTCCCCCTAGAAATATTGCCCGCTCACACAAGTTTACAGGAGAAAGTTGCCGAAGTCGGTGGCTATTATGCTACAATCGAGTCGTGTCTATTGCTTGCATCGATGCAACGAGCGTTTTCGATATCATCCGATGATGCGCGTCAATACAGTGCTTTGGGTATGGTAACAAGCTCGTCTAGTGCTGGGCGTCCAGGTATGAACATGAACACCAGCGGACCTCTCAAAACTTCGATAGTAGAATCATCCCTCTACGCGGCACGTCGAGGGGCACAAAGGGCGTTTGCAACGGGCCACACAGGTACTGCCTCCGCCGTTACCAACTACTTTGCGGACTGTTTAAGGGATGTATTGGCCCAGCATTTGATTCGACGAACTGAAGACCTCGGTGTGAATCCTTTAAAGCCTGGAGAGGGACTTCTCGAGGGATCGGCTGGAATCTTTGGGACGGTTGGTCTTACAGGAAGACAAGCGCACCAATCTGTTATGGGTCATGGGAGTTCTATTGACGAAATGCAACGCGAACGCGAAATCCAACTAGGTATTTCGCGGGCATGTGCCACTATGAACGACCTGGAAGTTGCCGCTAATCATACAAAAGAACTGGAAAGACTCCTCACAAAGAGTGTCGATCAAGGCTTTCCTCCGAATACACCCGAAACAGAGCAATTACGTATGTGTGTCCAGTCGTTGGGTCCAGTTGCAGGAACGTTTACCCTCGCATCCGACCAATCGGTAGAATCCTTGCTATCGGTGCTGAAACCTCGCATTCGAGCCATTGTTACAGATGCGGTTGGCAGTGATCATGGAGCTTCCCATGGCGGTGGTGCAAGTGGCTTTTCTTCGGTTATTGTTGGAGGAGGTATCACGAAAACTTCGACGGATCGTCATTCAGTTCGTATGAATTACGAATTGGACGAAGACGCCTATCAGCTATTGGAAGTCAGTCAGTCATACGTTTCTCGCCTATGCACGTTGCTGGATGAAATGCTCGTTCCACTTTGTCGGTACTTGGCGCCTCGACTAGCCGATAGTCTTGTGCTGGGTGTACTTGGAACTGTCTCAAAGCGTTTGGAGGTATCTTTGAAGAAGGTAAGGCCTCGTTCATTGTTTTTAAAGCTTAATATTCATGGTTTGAATGCTTCTGAACCTTTGAGAATAATTGTTACCTGATCGCGTGACTTTTTAACCTCGTTCTTTTCTTGCATCATGAAGTGTCGATTTACAGCACTGGGAGCCTTGAGTTTAGATTCAGACATCAGGGATTTGATCCATTATGGTAAGTCATTTGGGTTTCATTCTGTGGTGTGTGTTTGGAGAAGGATTACATTCATCGCTCTGTTTACATGAGCTGGATCGTCTCAATACTTGGAACTGTTTTCTTCACATTCCAAAATTCATTAGCAAAAGATCGGTTGGTGTCACCCGATTTCAACTCGTCAAATGCGGTGCTGTGCAATGCTTGCACGCCTCTTTCTCGCTTGCTACAGATCGCGAAGTTGATGAATCTTGACGACTTGGAGGATGTTTTGGATCTTATTTCAAGCTCGAAAAGAAAGGGACATTGGGATTTGAAAATGGAAGATTCGAAAGCATACCTATCGTTGCGTGTTGAGTTTGATGCAGAGATTGTCGGTCGGCTTTTGAAGGGAGTGGATGAAGAATAAGATGCAATTGAAATAAGTTCTTATTCCTATTATCATTATCAATGTTGCGTGACTTGAGAGAAAAAAAAATAGAAATGGCAAGTGTCTCGATTCTCGATACAGTACCGGCCGGTACGGTAGTACCTTACCGTATTCGTAAGTACCAGACAGTATTTTTCGAATAATCAAAATTACTGTATTGTATTGCCTTCTCGTAAGTATTCGCGCCCCCGCGAACTCTGTTTTGTGACGACAGCTCTGCACCGGCAGTTATGAACGCTTGATGTACACGTAGACAACTTCATCGAGGTTTTCTTGGATTGGGTGAACTGTTGGGAATATGCGCAACAAACGATTGAGAATAATTTTTTGAAACATGACACCCAACCTACGTAGCCACGAAGTACTAATTGTACTAGACACCTTTGAAACACAGGCAAAAAATATTGCGCCTCGATTCTGAATTCCGACGCTCGAATTTCCTGTCTGTTTCTAATGATAAGAGCCAAGCCATTGCAAGCTCAAGCGGAATATAATAACAAATGACAAAATACAATCGATAGCTTCAAAATGATGAATAAGGAGCCTAAAATTATTCCCGACGAGCCAAGGGACCTAGATTCATCAGTACGTGTTGTTGTCGTCCACCGTGTTGCCCAAGACTTCTCGCCGAACAAGTAACGTAAATGATGGTCTCAAAAACCTCCGTAAACTCATCGGTGCCTATACTGAAGAGTGAAAGAGTGAAGTGTGTCGAGGAAGAAACAAACGAGTTGAATTTTTCCCTTTACTTGTATCATACCCCTTAACTAGATCATTTCGCTTGCCTTGTGTCGTTCTGCAGAATTGCATTTACCCGCCAGAATATGAAGGCCATTTCGACCGGCTGCTGATAACAAAAGAGGAAATTAGGGAAGCTGTGCGCTCCTTAGCAAATCAGATCAACGAAGATTACAAAGGTTATCGACCTGTTATGGTTTGTATTCTGAAAGGTGCCAATCCAGTACGTATATCGGCCATCAAAGATATTTTTGTGATACCGGCTCGAAAAATGGTAGTCAACACTGATGTAATGCCTCACACACTCCTGCTTACCTTCCACTTATATCAATGGCCAATACCCTCACCAAACTGTCTTTTGGATATAGTTTTATCAACATTTATTGGATGCATTGCAAGATGGTCGTAAAGGATTCAACATAGAATTCATAAGAGTTTCGTCCTACGAAGGGACAAATTCGACCGGCGATGTGAAAATTGGGGGAGGGTTTGATTTTGAAAGTCTTCAGCAGAAACATGTGATTCTAGTTGAAGATATTGTGGACACTGGAACAACAATTTCTCATTTAATTCCGATCTTGAAGGAAAAGGCAAACCCAGCCTCGGTTGAGGTTTGTTGCCTACTAACAAAACGCATCGGAAAACCTCAAAAGTGCACCGCAAAGTATGCTGGATTTTCTATACCAAACAATTTTATCATCGGCTACGGTCTTGATTATAATGAGTTATATAGAGATACCCAAGACATATGGGTCATTTCTCAGAAAGGAATCGATTTTGATTCTTCAGGTCTAAAGTAACAAAAATAAGAAAATAATATGAAGAGGCCGAGGGTACAATCTCCGTTATTGTTCATGCTATTTTTCCAAATCAATGCCGCGATGTGGATCATCGGACTCGACATCACTTGCATTTCATCTAAATGCATCCGATAATTCCCATCAACTTGAACAAGAGTACTAGAAGACATAGCTTGAAGAGTCGCGTCTTATCCTCGGAACTTACTATTCTTTTTGAGCTTGTTAAAAATATCTTCGCTACTTCGGGTACTTTTGGTTGCTAATAATTTATCATTTCAAAGAGAAACGTGCAGCAAAACTTAGTCTCTCGGTGAAATAGCTAATCCGAATAAAGGAAACTGATAAATCAGGCTCTAAATAGAATTTTGAAGTCATCAATAGATGGACGAGATATTCCTTCTGCTTCTGTTGCTGCCTTGTCACATAGGGCGGCTCGAGCGACTTCTTTCTTCCTTTTTTGCAACTCAAGAATACGTTCTTCGATGCTATTCAATACAAAGAACTTTCTCACGTAGATCGTTTTTGCAGATTGTCCAATCCTATGAATTCGATCAACGCACTGGTCTTCTACCGCAGCATTCCACCAAGGATCTACAAATAGCGAGAAGTAAAAAGTACGTCAGCCATTGCATAAGTGTTGATGATTTCACAACAGCGAACATTACGTACCAACAATAAATACACTTTTTGCAGCAACAAGATTAAGTCCCTGATGAGAAAAGAAAAAGAATGAATTTCAATGGTATGGTTAGACTTCGTTTTTGAAATAGTGGATAGTTCAAAAGGTACACTGAACGTACCACTCCTCCAGCTTTCATGCTGATCAACAAAACTGTTCCAGCATTTGAATTATGAGACGAAGCATACCGCGGCGACCCAGAATTAAAATCGCTGAGAACTTTCATGCGATCTTTGAGGCTGAGTTTTCCATCCAGTCGTCCGTATGAAATCCCGCTATACTTAAAACTTTTCTCCATGATGTCAAGAAATCCGAGGAACTGTGAAAATATCAAAACCTTCGAACCTGGCTCCTTTTCCCAAACAAGATGCAGCTCTTTCAAGATTGCTGCTAATTTTGAACTACTTGCTCCTTGTATAGCAGTCTGCAAGATTTTCCTGGCGCAACCATCCGCTTCGTTGACTTCCAAGTTTTCCTTTCCTTCTTGTTGTGGGTTTTGATGAAGAAAGGTCGTCTGGATTTTCCCATTCTCGGAATGGTTCATGCGAAGGATTCTTCGCGTATCGATTTCCGTCGAACATACGGGGCAGCTTCCGCAGTGTGTCGGGTGTGAGTCCGTCGGCCTACCAGAGCATTTCTTTCTGTTTTCCAAAGCACCAAGCAGGCAACCTTGACAAAATATATGAAGACACGGTGTGATTGCAGAATCATTCATCGTTATGTTATCGAGACAAATTGGGCATTCTTCATTTAATTCTGACGAATCACTTTGAACAGCTTGGTTGAGCATATTTGCGATAGATGAGGCATATGCGTCGTTTGAATCGCAATTGCTATCATCACCAACCTGTTGATCATTCGACTTCGCCTTGACTCTATTCCTCTGCATAGATTTAAATTTGTGATGCAAATCTGCCAAGAATGATTGATCGATGGTATCTTCGGTCGTCTGTCCCTTCTCCCTTATTGGTCTTTCCGTAGAAGTATCCTTATCACTTCCATCTCCTAATGACGACTGCGTTATATTCGACGTCCAATCTTCGTCATCCAAATGAGACTTTACGGTCAGAGCAACATGTGAACAAGTTTGACGCAATCGCTGCAACAGTGAAAAAATCTTGAGCCACGACGATGAGGCCGTCCCCGCTTGAATGAAGCCTTTAAAAATATCAAATGATTTACGGTATAGAGCCTCGTAAAATTGCCTTTCCTCGGGGGAGAATTGTACCGGGACGCACTCGCAGTCGATGTCTGGTAGAGTGAGGATCAGTTTCCCGGTCTTGTCCCGCGTCTCTTTTGTTCTGCGTATCATGATTGGGGAAAGAATGCTCTTGACTCGATCTAAAGCCACGGAGAAATCTGAGGCCTTCGTAACAGTAGTATTCCAGAAGGCGTGTTCTGAGAACGGTTCGTGGCGAAGAAAGCGAATCAGAGAATAGACGTCATTTAAGGAGTTCTGAATTATGGTGCCCGAGACTACCCATCGTCGTTCGGCACGGAGGAGACAGCATGCTTTGGCTACCATCGTGGAATGGTTCTTTATTGTGTGGCATTCGTCCAGTATTACGCGTTTCCAATTCTTTGATAGCAGGGAAAGACCCGTCGATACTCCAGCCTTTCGTCGTGTTCGAAGTTCGGCTTGTAGGGTACCGTAGGTTGTCAGGACGATGTCGACGTGATTCTTGCTACCATTACCATTCTGTTTCTTCTTGCCGTCGTTGTAGTGAACTCGATTCGTGAGGGTTGTTTTACTCTTTATTTCGTCCTCCCACTGATTCAGAAGCGAAAGTGGCGATACAACTAGAGTAGAGTCGTTTGTGCGAGGCTCCCCGTCAGCCGTGTCAGCATCTTCCTTCTCGCTGTTTTCGTCTTTGTCGGATTGTACAAGTGCTAAGAGCTGAACCGTTTTGCCCAACCTACGAAATCGGAAGAAGAAGGTGTGAAAAGAACAGGTTTGAGTAAAATTAGTATGTCCATTGAGTGAATCACACTACAAACTATTCACACGAGCGGAATAAAATCGGTCCCAGTGTACTATCCTTACCCCATTGAGTCGGCAAGAATTCCACCCCTACAGGGAAGAGGAGATGGTGGAGGTTCCGGAGCTGCATTTCGAAAGGAAGGCTGGACGAAGAAACTAAAAGCCTTTGTTTGGTGATTGTTGCACAAAAACCGCCGTTCCCAGAGAGGGTGATCCAGTTCCTGATCTTCAGATTCCTCGTTGCCGTCTTTGTCGCTCTCGTGGAGGAATCCTCTAGCAATACAAGGTGCCTCCACCTGATTGGTATCAACTACGACTGGACCGCAATCGCAAGATATTCCCTTTCTAGGTCCCAACAGGCACACTTCGTCATCGTGCTGTATTCCTACCCTGTGCGTCGTTGATGATTCCCTAGCTAACCTTTGCAAGAGCCGTACCAGCTCTTTGCGGCCGCTGGGTGATTTCTTTTCCCTTTGAGTCATCCAGTAGAGAGACTGCTTCTGGTAGGGTCGCAGATCGATCCCCTCTCGAAACCCTCTGGGAGTGTCCATTTCGTTGTGTTCCGTTTCGAGATCGCCATGGCTGTCATCCACTTTCTTGGCGACAGCTGTGCTGTCGTTTCCGTTTTCTGCTCCGAGCACTCCTCTAGCCCAATCTGGAATCGCGGCCTCTTCGTCCTTCGCAGACGCATGCAGGGTAGGTGTTGCGGCATCCAAGTCTCCTCCATCGTCATCGTCATCGTCGTCGTCATCGCTGCCGTCCACACCCCTATCGTTGTTGCTGCTTTCATTTTCCGATGATGTGCCCCCCGTTCCATTGCCATCAGCATCGTCATTGCGAGTCTCCTGCTTTCCGTGCTGCGCCCACTGCAGCAACAAAAAGGCACACTCGCGGCACGATGCGAGTAAAGAACGCGATACAGCTGCTGTAGCTGCCTGACCCATGCGAGCATTGCGACCGGAATACAGGAAATCTTTCGAATAAGACGACCTGCTGCCACCGCCGTTCTTGTTGTTGCCATCCCGGAATACGGCAAAAAATCGGACCGGGTCGACAATCCATACCCGTATCCCAAAGGCAACCTGGGCACCGACGGGCAACTGTTTTTCTTCCATCAAGGCGGTTGCTTTCAGGCGGATGAGATTGTGTTTCAATAGGGTACCTAGAAAGGAAAGGTGGCGTGGAAAGCTTCCGTCCATGCGGTGGCTCTTGGACCGAAACCGAAGCGCTTTTGGAGGGCAGGAAGAGGTCTTTGTTGTGGCGGAAGACGAGGACGATCCCTCCATTAGGACGCGAAATTCTTCTTGGTAGTCACAGGCTCCATGCCGGCTGAGATTGACGCCATCGCCCACCCATCGATGGCATAACAGCCACTCTTCGTCTCCGTGGCCCGGTTTGGTGGTGGTTGTTTTTCCACCACGCGGTACAGGTGCCAACCCCTTTGCTTTCTTGGCAACCGGGGTCGTTCCCTTGGGAGTGACCAAGATGGAAGACGACGACGAAGAAGGAGAAGTCCCTTCCATCGATGGAGGCATCGGAGAATGGGATGCCCCCATAACTTTCAAGGAAGTCGGATCGTCATCGATGCTTAAATCGATGGCAGCGGACGGCAATTGCGGCATTGCCGGACGAGATTGAAGGTGAAGGGTTGGCTTTTGGCGTGGAGTTGTGGCTACTTTGTGCGGGCAAGGTGCGGTTCCGTCATTTGTTTGCGATGTTGGTGCTGTGGATGCTGACGATCTTCCAAAGAATCCTTTGTTTCGGTTTGCTTTCTTCGAAGGTTGAAATTGACCGGTTACCAAACGTTCCGCAGCGACATCGACGCGGTAACCAGATTGTCTCAGGCAATTTGAGAGATCGCTTTCGCTAAAGCCGCCACAGCTCAAGCCACGCAAAATCTGGAGTTTTTCGACAACGCTCATCGACGACGACGACGACGGACCACTTCCTCCCAGAGCTCTTTTTTTCCCACCACCCATTCTTCTCGATATTTTTTGGTCTGGCTATGGTTCGAAGTACTATCGGTGTTGTCGCTTGCGAATAGTGGTGGATCCAAGGAATAGGTGGTCAGTGCTTCTGGTGCACTGTAAACCTCCAAAATGGCGATGTAGCTACGGTATGAAAGAATGATAACTATTCGCTGCTTTCTTCCCACCAATTGGCTCGTGCTTTCTGTGTGAAATACAGTACGATACATGACATACCGGTAGTACGTTACCTTAAATGGCCAGTGCTCTACCGTATTCTCATGGGGTAATACGTTCCAGGCAGTACGAGAACAAGTTTTCGTACGAGTACGTATGTACCGGTACTTGGGGTACGAGTTCGAGTTCGAGAAGGAAAAATGGAGGTAGGAACAGGATTGCATCCACTCACCGCGCGTTGATTGTCACACTGTTCTACGGAATCACACAAATACAGATCATTGCCGTTTCATTTTTTTGGAGCGGGATGAGTGTTTCGATCTACCGTACGATGGATACGAGACACGAAACTATAGTGTCAGAGTACCCTACGTACATACTCATCAGAAGTACATACCATATTATGACGACGCACCTTTCCAGAAATCAGTAGAGCGCGTGCAATGCTGATTCAAATAATTTGAATTTTTCGATCATCCATGACTATTGATCCCGGGCAACTACTTGTACTGCTCGTACTCGTACCTAGTAAGTACTTAGTGTTATTCATCATTGGTTATTCGAACCCAAGTATCGATCAGAAGGGCAACACCATTATCTTGAACAAACATTTGATCTCGATAGCTAGCATCTACATTGTGTTCCACAGAGCTGCCACCAGAGAGAGCATCATAGCAATTCAACGTAACGATATCGATGGCAACCACCAACACCACAAATACGTACAAACAATACGTCACTCTGAGCGAGAAGGCCCTGCGCAAGAGCCGGAAATCCCTAGATACGCGCTCCCTCGTCCGACTGGCCTACGGCGACGATACAGCACATATCGGGGGCAGCGACATGCTCGAGGGGATTCTGAACGGTGTCCTCGACAAGATTTCCAACGAAACGGTTCTGGAAGAACTCGATCGTTACGGAACCACCAGCCGAATTGTTGTCGATGAGGGGGAGCAATCGCAACAACAACCACAATCAACGAACAGTACATCGAACGACGAGCAAATCAATAGAAGTAGAATGATGACACCCAAGGAACGCCTCGATAGGATCGATTCCGTGATTTCTGACGTTGTAGAATGGGAGGGAAGGAGAGATCGCCGGGAAGAGCTGGATGCCGAATCGGCGCGAGAAAGCCTCGATCGAAACCTTTTGCCGGAAGGGGTTTCCATGGACCAGGTCATCGCCCATCGAGAATTCGAGGAAAAGCTGCGAGCGAAGAAGCTACTCGAGGGTGAGCTGCAGCGAATCCAAGAGGAGATATCGACTCTGGAAGAAAAGCGTGTCATGGAGCAAACGCAGATACGAGAGCAACTGGAGAAGGTAGAAAGCGCAGAGCAAAAATTGGAAGCCACGGCAAATCTTTGTGCCATGGTCACGACCTGATCGGACTTTTGCTCTCTGCAAAGAAAAATGAATGCAGTAGTATCCATAGGAGCAATAGGATAGCACTGGGCGCTGCGCTGAGGATTATTGTAGCATTATGATGGTTTTTGTGATGGCATTCCGATGCATCGAATCCAACCACGTATACATCTAATAGCAGACGAAATGCAGTTGTTGACTACTGTACATTACTCTGCTATTGGATACTGCATTGCTATTCTTGCGCAATTTCTTGTTACTGTGTACATGTTCAGGGATCCTTTGGCTTCCTTCAAACTCTTGTGTATGGTATCTACTATCGATACCGAAAGGTACGTACGTACGTACCCACTGGATAATTGATGCGACCGAACCCCGAACGAATGAATACGAGTACGTTTTTGTAATACGTACCGTACAGTAGTGAACAGTACGTAATTGGATAGGATCTCCGCTGTTAATTTAGCATACGGTACAGTACCTTGTATTCTACGGTACGGAAGAACATTTACAATAATTCTCAAAATATCTTTCTGAGAGAAGAACATCTGTTTTGTATCTGGCAAGAGAAGATGATGACAACAAACGTACCGGTATTGAAAGCTGGTGAAAATCTCAGTATTCGTACCAAGGCGATGACTGCACGTAACACAAACTGAAGTGATCTCGAATGCCGCAGTGCACAAGGGGTAATTTGGCATTGAGATGAAATGGTATTTTTAGATCGATCAAAAATAAATTGATGAAGACGAAACGATTTGAAAAAGCAGCTCAACTTATTACGATTAGACCGAGAGTCATTCCACGAACAACTAAAGAAAGCTGCACGCTACATTGCTCCAACAAGAAGTCGAGAACAACTATCATCCCAGATGACTTTGCAGGCAAACGTCAATGCATCCGGGGATGATCTGCCGCCCACAGAAATGATATATTATACTTATGAAGGGAATTTCCAACTCGATTGCGACGCGGAAATTCTTGCTTGCCAATTTATCGATGACGACGAAAAACCGGAATGTGAAAACGAAGGAGAGAAAGAGGTCAGGCTTTCGCTGAACAGGACTGTCTTGCACGCGCAAGGCGGAGGTCAACCGACTGATACCGGAAAGATTCGGGTTTGCAGTGCTTCCGGCGACGAGAAAACTGAGATTTTCATCACGAAGGTACTGTTAGACCGGGCTACAAATGTCGCCACTCACACCGGAACGCTTAATATCGAGACGAGCAAAACCTTTGCATCGCCATCTTCTTGGATCGGAGAGAAAGCGATGGTCTCAGTCGACGCAAATCGTAGGCAAATTCTATCAGAATGTCACACAGCAGGCCACGTTGTCGACATGGCCATGGCTCAGTGCAAAACGATGATGCCTCCAACTAAGGCTTATCACTTTTTGGACGGCCCATATGTCGAATACAAAGGGAAAATACCAAATGAAGAGAGAGATATTCTCCTCAAAAAATTGCAAAACACCTTTCAAGAGTTGGTGGAATTTGATATCGCTACGGAAATAACCACCGTGTCGCGATCGGATGCAGAAGAGATCTGCAACAACATGACAGGCGGTCAAGATTATTTCCAATTGACTAAAATGTTCAAGGAAGACGAAAACGTACGAATTGTCCGTGTGGCAGGTTGGCCGTGTCCCTGCGGGGGGACTCACGTGAAAAGCACAGGAGAGCTCAAAAAGAGGAATTGGGGGATAACCGGCTTCAGGTGCAAGAAGGGTGTCGTGAGAGTAAAATATGGACAGGATTGGGAGAAAGAGAAGAAATAGTAGTGATGATGCTTCATGGATTGCGGTCGCCGAGCTAATTGTTTGATTGAGAATACCTCTTCGCTCAATTTTTTGGCAAGCGTTTCAGGTAATTTTTGTTGCGTACTAGGTAGAACAATAATAATAACAAGCATATTGACCAAAGGCTGGTTGGTATGGTCTGGATTTTGTCAGAATCGCCAACATCCCATGATTAATGATTACCCACGCAGCAAGCTCCTTTCTAGATTATCTAAATTTCGCATGAGAAGGTGCAAACTGGACGTTCAATATGGGACAGAGAAAGATAGATGTGATGTTACTGTACGTATAGTACATATATATCATATCTATTGATTCACCATTGGAAGTACAGTACGACGTATCGTTCTTACGGTATCGTATCGGATCTTCAATGATGGACGCAGCACGTCATACCGTACAACATCGGTCGGCAGTGTGGTACTCGTACCTGTACTACGGGTACCCCTATCTGTTACAGTACGTAGCTGTTAGTACGTACGGTGCCATCAATCGTCTACTTGAACGACGTTGAAGGTACGAATACCTGTGGGGAGTAGTACGAGTACCGTACGTACGGTATCACCGTTCAGAATCGTAAATCATGAAGTGAACCTGAGATATTTTCAGCAGCTGTGTCACAAGTTCCAAGTAGAGTGAAAGATTGACTGTTGCAAATAAAAATGTTGCTTGGTGTAAAACTGTTTATAATCGGCTTCATATGCTGTTCATTATCTGGTGTGTCGGCTTGGGTTGTACCAACGAGCAATCGGCTTTGTTCCACCCGGAGGACTCAGTCGAGAGCTACAGCAACAGTTCCATACCAATTGCAACAGAAACACGGATCGCCTTCCACTCGTCGTGGGAATACGCGCCTCTACAATAAACTATTGGAGTTTCTCAGTCCGTATGATTCAAAAATCCCTGAAGAACTTCGAGATGAAATATACAAGGCAGAAGCCAATACTCCAGCGGCTAAAGATCGCGGAACACGGGTGGCAATCTACGCCACAATGGCTCTTTTCGGAATCATCCTGGCTTCTTTCAATGGATTTTTGACCGATATGCGGGACAGAGAAACTGCCATGAATGCTGCTACGGTTGTTGCATCAGCAGCCGACCCGGGGACACCCAACAGCCTTTATGTTCTAGAAGCGAACGGTTTCGGGTGGGTGTTATCAAATCCCATTTTCAAATTTTTGTTCACTAATAAAATTGGTGGTATCATTACTCTATTGTTTGGTGGAGGATCGGGATTGATGGCAGAAGCCGAACTTGATTCCCAGCGTATCAATGCTGAAAAAATTTACGAAGAGTTGGAACGCCGTCGCGAACAAAAACAGACGAAGAAGACCGGAGGAGGCGGCATGAGTAAAAGTAAGAAAAAGAGACGATCTGGAAAGGAGAAAAAGCGTCTAGCAGCAATTTCCGAAGTGGTAATGGATGATACTACCGAAGCAACTTCCGTGCTATCTAAGGAAAGTACACCAGCAGAAGAAACTTCTTCTACAAATGATGTCGAGACGACAGGCATGGGAGGCGAAAGCGACGATAAGAAAGGGGTTTTTGGTAAAATGAAGGATCTCTACGAGAAGGCTGATTCTATGGCAGCCTCTCAAGCCCTAATATTGAATAAAAATCTTGAAGAAGCCGGAGTGGTTGAGAAAATTACGGACGAAACAGGCCTGAAGGTGATCGGGCGGGAAGAAGGAAAGAAAATAGAAGAAAAGAAAGCCTCCGACGACAATTAATTTCAAGACTAGGTATGCTACTAAAATATATATAACTTACCACAATAATCGACAAGACCCAAACGGAAAAAGAATCGATCATCGAAGAATCAGAACCGCTATAGATATACATCATTTTGACAATAATTCTCTTCCTTTCCTTATTCGCATGGGTGCGAAGAAACTTTGTGAAAATTAATATTACTAATTGACAGTATTACTTGCTAAAGTACTTGTCATGTTCGGTATCCAAGCATGCGAATGCCTTGATTTGGCAATCATTGAAATCCTGCACCAGTATTACCACTACCTTTGGACTTTCTCGTGTATTCGTTCCAGGCTTCCATCCTTTTGTTGAGAAGCCGTTTTCTGACTCCGTCCTGGTGTGCGGTAGGAACTAGTTTCATGGCTTCAATCCATTCCGAAAAGATGTCATTCCTGAATTCTATTATCTGCTCGGAAATTCCAAATGGATCGGTGAGTGCGACATTGCCGTTGTCACGATGAATTATTGACGGCGACAGAAGCAACAGTTCTTCAATAAAATCGTCTGTTTCGGAAAGGTTAATGAATGATAAGAATGGGTTAGACATGTAAAATATATGTGCGGGTTTCGTTGCGATCACTGATTTTTCAAATCGCTCAAGAACGCACCTGCTTTTCCAAACGGAAGATCGCCGTCAAAAAAATCTTCGAGGCGATCTACGTAGAAATCACGAAGCAACTCGAGGTTTGCATCGTCGCCCTTGTCGCCAAGGGACCGAAGCAGACGATGAATGCTAGCTTGGGTGCAAAGGTTGTAAAGCAAATCAAAACTACCCATGCGAAACGGCGAGCCCGAGGCACCAAACGATGTATGAGAGTTCAGAGCGTCCACAGCTGTACGTTCAAACGCAACAGCTGGTGACATCGCAGGATCTTGGTTGCGCTCGTCTTTTGCTAGTTGAAAGTAGGAATCCAGGATTTGTTGGTTCGCTCTCCCCAAGATTTCTAGATCATTCACCCACTCCGCGGCAAGTTGCTCTCTAACAGCAAGAATGCGATCAGTCAACGAAGCGGGGTCAATAGTAATTTTAAATTCCACGTATCGGTCCTGTAGATAAGGGTTGTTTTTGCTCCAGCCCCCGTGGCCTCTTCCGCGACGTTTCGCGCTCACTATCATTACATCTTCTGGTTGATCCATTAGTTCCAACAGTGGCCCGTCCCAAGGGACGTCCGCCATAAAGCTGGCGCCTGTACCGTGGTAATTGAGTAGATTCTGTGTCTTTAGGAAGTCTTCGATCCATTTCCCCGAGTGAGGATCGCGGCATTCTTCACAAAGAAACATGAACGATTGTATCGCTCGTTGTGTCAATAAGTTTCGAACATCGATTCTGCTATCTGATGACCAATCTTGGAAAGCTTCGTCATGAGCAGACAACGCAAGAAGAAAGTGCTCTCGCATTCCATGACGTCGGTCCCTTTCAATAACGCTTCCAACGGAAGCCCGTAACGGCATGTCATTGGTAAAACATTGACAAAGGGGACTCAGACAACTAAGAATTCCAACAGCCGTAACGCTAGCAACGAGGCTTGTCGTCATCGTTTCTTTACCCTCTCCTTGTTCCTTTTTTGTATTGAAAATATAGCAATGAGCTGGACGTAAGTCGGTTGAGAGGCAGTTTGAGAACTCTTCAAAGAATATCTCTTCGGTCTCGCATTCAAAAGTTAGCGTAGGGTATCAGAAGAAGGGGATTACAAATTGCTTTTCCTCTATTACCGGTACTGTTGATGGTTTACAGGTACGTACGTACTGGACCCCTAGTCGAATACGAGTACTTGCATCTAAAATTATGATTACAGCACGATACCGTACCGGCCGGGCGGTATGACCCCTGCTAATACCCCTCCCCCAGACAGGTACGAGTTCGTACGTACGATTACGAATACCAATCGCGCAATCACCAATCACCGTTCAGAACTCTGATCACGGATGACAACATTGCTTCATGCCAAGTTGTTCTGCCTCACAATTCCAAACCCCATAATCTCACCATATCTCGCGCGACCAACTTCATTTTTTGGGACCACGCGGTCAGAAATCACAACTCCAAGTACAACTACAGACCTAGAAGCAGTTCGTACGGTACGGTACAATAATATCTTTTCGCTTCATCTGAGTGAGAGAGGTTTTTGTTTTTGCTTTTTCTACCCGAACAGTACGGTATTGTACCATAGGTCATGTACCATGACTCTTGTTGCGAAACATGCTTACCGGTGGGGCCTTCGACAACACATCTGCTCAGTGACCCAATTTGCATTTTTCTTTCGCACTATGAAACTCATTTCATCGTTTGCAACAGCAACTATTCTTGGTCTCTCGAAGAAATCGTTTGGCTTTGTCTCATCCAGCAAAACTATTTCACGCCACTGCATCCTCCAAAGCCCTTCTGGTTTCCTCAGGATGAGTACCACAACAGATTCAATGACTCCCGATGTATCTCGATTCATGTCGGGAGACCGTCCGGAAGGAACTAAGGACTACGTTATGCAGCAGGTTATGGTCCGGGTTAAAGATCCGGTAAAGTCACTCGAATTTTACTGCAATACGTTGGGTTTCAAGCTTGTGATGTACAGGGAGTTTCCGCAGTGGGGATTCAATGTTTATGTGCGTACCAGACACACAGAACGACGAACTATGACATGTCTTAGATTTGCTAAGCTCATCCGGGCAGAAGGTGTGTTTCTGACTCTTTCTTTCTTTCATCTTTTCCGAATTTATAGTTTGTTGCACCAGTGGAAGCTGTGAATATTCCCGAAGACAAGGACGCGCAGTGGAAATACTGCATGAATATACCAGGCTGCATCGAGCTTACCTACAATTACGGTTCAGAAAAAGAAGATGGCCTCGTGTACAACACAGGAAACGGCGACGCAACAGGCGTATCGAATGGAGAAAGTGTCAAGGGCGGATTCGGTCATCTTGGTATCACCGTGCCGGATGTGTACGAGGCCTGCGAACGCTTCAAAAAACTCGGTTGTGAATTCAAGAAGACCCCCAACGCGGGTGGAATGAAAGGATTGGCGTTTGTGAAAGATCCCGATGGATACCTAATTGAGATTCTGCCACAAGGTCCCATGATCACCAAACCCTTGGATTGCGATGGGGTACCTGCCGAGGGCGGAGAAGGATACAAAGACAACTCGAAGGAGTAATGAGCCCAGGAACGCAACCGTCATATTTATGATGAACCAGACGCGTGGTGAAAAAGAGTAAATGAAGTACACGAGATCGTTTATATGACAATTTTAACTCATTAGCTTTTTGAATGAAAAGAATGCACTCGGAATTATGAAATTTTGTATGCGATGCTGTGATTAGTGTTGGTTGTGGCGTGCAGAAGCATAAAAACATACACAAGCTCGTTGATACGTTATGACAATCATTTTGAATCATTAGCTTTCTAAATGCAAAGAAGGCATTCGAAATTATGAAATTTTGTACTCGATGCTGTGATTGTTGTGTGCTGTGGCGTACAGAACCATAAAAAACACCATTGCAATATCAAAGATATCTCCATGGATATTTGAGGTGCAATAGGAGAGCTATCTATCGAAGTGGTCGAATACGGGTATCACACGATTTGATAAACAAGTCTTTCTCTGTCAAACAGAAATTTCGAACGATTTCTGGATATCCATGAAGCTGAGACAATCCAAGCAGCTTTCATTAGAGTAATACGACAAATTCTTTCGACTTGTCAAAAGTTGGACCTCAACACCATCTTCGTCATCGTGATCAATCTCGAGACTCAGAGTATCTCCTTTCTTGCGCTTTTTGTTACTTGATGCTGCCTTCTTCCCACCATAGCTCTCTGAAACAAAATCCATCATATGGGACTGAGAATGGCCTGTCATTGCTGTGATTACGTCATTAGATATCTTGTTGTATTCAATTTCATTTGAAAGAGATGGACTACCGCAAAAAGCCAATAGCGAATGAGAATTGACCCTTGAATTTATCAATTCGATAGTATGGTCCTCAATCACTCTCCGAAGATTTGGTCTTCGAAATATAATCCCACCGTTGCGGAAAAATTCACTATTTTCGTATTCTTTCCGAAGCAATGCACAAGATAACTCGTTTGGATCTGTGACATGAATAGTAATCTTACAAACCTTTTGTGCGTTTTCAATCCCCCACTTTACGACAAGAAGATCCCAGAGCATGAGAATATCTGGAAGAATCTCAGATACTTGGGAAGCAGATCGAGTGATCCAAAGAAATTTGAGCTGGTCAACCTGTGAAGACTGAACATGTTTCGTCACTCGGTAACGAACTGATTGGTTTGGAGAAACTGCCTTCACCCAGAATCGTCCAATCATATACCAAATAAGAATAGAAAATAATGTGATATCACTTGGAAGCAATTTTTGAAAGTCACTGCAGACTTCGATCCAGTACCAGTCAGCAAATGGACTGATAACGACGAAGACGACGTCAACATATGCAAGAATCCCATCTGCATTCCAAAAGAAAATTGAAACCAGTGCAAAGCAGGTCTGGAAAGCAATAGTAAAATATCTTAAACAACAGAAGATTTGTGTGGCAGAAACGAGGTTAGTAAATGATGCGATCACGACAAACAACTAGGTTGTATGTTCTCAAACTTACTTTAATATCATCGCCATGGATGGGTATATTTCTATTGGGATAGTGCTCCAGGATATCATAAGAGCAAACAATGCAACTCCAAGAACTGGCAAAGAAGAGAGAACCACACTTCCATATATAGGGAGAGTCGCAGCAGTCGCACTTTTATATATTGTTTCGTGATCATCCTCCTGAAGATTATCAGCGTCGTAAGAGCTGCCACTTGTTAAAATCGTTTTGTGATTTCGTAGCAAGGAATACTTTCCATTCAAAACGCGAAAGATCTTCTGTGCTAGTGACCCTGTTTGTGCTTGCTCTGCTTGCTCAATTCGACGTTGTCTTCTCTCTGATGAATTTAATTCGATGAAAAATTTCTTCGGATCTAATCGGAAAAGTTTGTGCATGTGTTCTTTGTACATACTCAAGATTGGGACGACACCAGTCCCTGCCCCAATTGCCAGCGTATGCGAATAATTCTGGCCGCGAGATAAAGATGATCCATAGGGCCCCATCACTTCAATTTTCAGACTGGCTACATCAAATGACCCCGAAGTTACTTCATCGTCAAAAAGATTCCAGAGATGTTTCGTCCAAGTCTTCCCCTCGTGGACCTCGATATAAAATTCAAGATTAGAAGAATCTGGACGGGAGGCGATCGAAAATGGATGCCACTCGTTGTTAATGGTGCTAATTCGAAGGTAGGCATATTGGCCAGCTTTAAACTCGAACAGGACAGGACGCTGCAGCTTCAAAATAATCAATTTTGAACCTTTCTTTCCCCACACAACCGAAGAACTAACTAGCTTGGTATAGTATCGATGATTCATGTACATCGCCATTCGGTCACAAAAGTAGTACAATAGAGTCGACGAAAACCATTTAAAAGTCTGGCTTCGCTCCTTTCTTCCACTTCGTTGTTCCATGTCGAGTGTATGAGCGATGGTAATTATGTACATCAAGAAGACGACGTGATGCAAAGCATAAAATACCTCGTAAGACATCTTGTGCCGAAAATGGGATGTCAAGGCAATGATCAGTAGTGTTGCCAATATACAATAACCGGTAATCATGATCTCCATCGTAAAATTATCACAAAATTTCTGCTCCCCTTCTGAGCACAATAATCCGAAGAAGAAGAAGAAGAAAATTGTGGCAAGGAAGACAATTGTAATCATTGTATAGCCAAGATGAATGTGCATAGCAAGAGCACGATTCAGAGGTATTACTCTATTGACAACAGATTCTGCGAGAGAAGCGATCGAAAACCTGCACATTGTGATTGGAATCAATGCCATTTGGAATAAAATGGCATGCATGGAACCGAACTCGATAGGTGGAACCAGACGTTTGAGCCAAAATCGATGAGCACCTTCTGGAACTTTTCCGGCCTGTTCCTCGAATTTTATGAATGCAAAATGTATCCAGATCACAATCGTACTTATGAAATGAATACAGAAGAAAATATTGAGCTTGCGTTGCGCATAGAAATGAGTTATCCATCTGAAAAATCTAGAGGGTTTTAGGTGGTGTCGGGCCTTTCTGAATAGCTCTCTATCCTCCTTGTCGAGATGTTCTTCGGGAGCTGTTCGAGTAGACAAACCGCATGAGGACGACTCGGTATCACTCATTTCTCCGTGATAATGACTGCTATTCTTGGCACTGCTTTTTCCTCGGTCGAAACAGAGTCTATCGGTGTCTGTGTCCTGTTGTCGTGACATCGTAGAAGGTTTTTTGTGCTTGGTTATTCTTCTCCGCTTACATATATTCGCTTATTTCTGCACGTCGTGTCTATTTAGGATGAGTAGGGCATTAATTGACGATCTTTGGGACAAGCCTGCTTCGTTCAAATACGATCCGTCCTTGACAATACTCGTAGTTGAAACGTTCCATTTGCAACAGGCAAGCAAATATTATTATAGTGACAAAGAAATGAGCTCAAATGCTTACGAGTGAATAGTACCATGCGAGAAGATCAATCTTAACGGCAACTTTATTGCACCATTAAGTAAGGTATCGCTGGATCAAGGATTTGCGTCTAAGTAATCGTTATTTGTTGCGTTGAGGGGGTCGCGCCTGGCGTGTGACAGTGATCCTACCGTAAGTTGCTGATCGCTCGTACCACCAGTACTATTAAGAATTATTACTAGTACTTATACTTCGGTAGTATTCATGACGAATCACGCGACACTCATAATTACTTTTTTGATCGTGCCGTCCGTATCACCTAAAATCACCTAAAAGTAGAAGTAACCAACAGATATCGATTACGAAGTACGAACAGGTCTACCGTTCGCTCGGTACCATTTACCGTATCAGAATATGACTAGTACGAGCACGTGCAGTTTGCTGAAACCTTTTTTAGTTTTTCTTTCTCGTCACGGTTCCTTCGACGAAACTCCTCGACACCATCACAACAACAAAATCTGAAAAATGCTCCAGATCGACTTCGAGTTACAAAGATATCACATCTTCTTCAACCAATAAATTAAGCAACAACTGCATGTCCATCTTTTCTTTCTTCCACCAGAATAGACGTAGGCCATGCAGATTTCCTACCTGGAAATCGTCACCACTGATGTTGACGCTGCGTGTGAACTCTACGCTACTTTACATAGTACAACATTTGGTGATGCGGATCCCTCTTTGGGTGGCGCTCGCACAGCACAAATAGCGGGTGGAGGGCTGCTGGGTGTTCGCTCACCAATGCATGCGGGCGAAAAGGCCGTCACAAGAGCATACACCCTCGTGGACGACATAAAGGTAGCAGTGGCAACTCTGGAGGCGGCAGGGGCGGTGATTGCTGTGCCACCAATGGAGATTCCCGAGCGTGGCTGGTGTGCCATCTACTTTCTTGGTGGCATTGAAGCAGGACTCTGGCAGCGGTAAATCAATGGTTACGTGTATACCATGATCTCAGATGTTGATGTTGATTAAAGATATAATTCATGAGGAGTTGGTGAATTCTAACTTATCATGGCTTTAAAGTAGGAATAGTAGTAGCAGCGTTAGAATAACCCGCTTTGTCATCATGGATTTTGTGATAAATTAGATGAATTTTTCTCCTTGTTTTGGGTGGGTTTGATAAATCATTTTTTGTTTTCTAAACTATCTATCCTCTCCTACTAGTAATTGGTTGCGGCCGCCGCCTTTGTTTTTTTTTTAAGGATGGCGGTGGCCAAAAAAACTTACTACGGTGCAAAAACTAGGTTATTGCTAGTAGAATGACTTGTTGTCACAATAATGACTGAATGTTTAAGTTAAAAATGAAACAATGTATTTTGGTAAAGGTACTAATTTATTTGCAAAAATTAATATACTGGGGTTTGTACAAATCTACACTAAAAAAAATATCTTTTTGTTTCCTCGGTAAGTCCAAGGCTGTAAGAATTCTTCAAAGTTAGTGGCTACGCGCACTAAAGATAGTGAAGTGAAGTGTAGTGCACCATAGCCAATAGTTGTGAAGAAATTGCTGGATAAAAATCTTAGTATTTTATTTAACCACATGAACTAGAAGAGGCACTATATGGCCAGAACCATAACTTCTGGGGAGAAGAATGCTCCTAGATGCTCCAAGGGGTAGTGTCTCCCTCCAAGGAGTGGCTATGGAGGTGCAATCAAAGAAATTCCTTGATAGTTTGCATCAATTCAGTTGTAAAACCAGTAGTAGTGCACTAGTCATTAGTACAACTTTAGATCTTTTCACACCACATCACACCAAAAAACTTTCTCTCTTTTCCTTGTTCCTACTAATACAATGCCTTGATATAATTCATCAACAGGTGTTATTATTCTAAATTATGAGCATTCACTTAGTGCAATTGAATCAAAAAGAGTGTTAAACTTGTGAACTACTAGAAGGGGCACTATACCACTGACTTTGCTCAACTCCCTCTCCCAGCCCAACTGAATGTCAAAGCTGACAGTTATGCTGGGCATTTTCAGGCTCAGATGACTACGCCAAATTTCATCACCCCAGTTTTACCTTCATGTCCAGCAGTGCTTCAGATCCAATCCCAATCTGTCACAAGCCAATATATGAGAGCTCTCACGGATTCCTGTTTGATCCCCAGATATCACACTTACTTGAGAGATAAAAAAAATCTTAATATTACTATATTTAACCTTGTGAACTAGAAGAGGCACTTGGATGGCCAGAACCACAGCTTTCGTTAGAAAGAATGCTTCTAACTGCTCCAAGGGGTGGCGCCTCCCTCCAAGGAGTTTTTGTGGAGGCGCGACCAAGTTCTATGCACACTGATAGGCCAATGACGGCCCAAGGCTAGACTCAGAGGACATAAAAGCAGTTGGTTCACAGTTTGGATGGATGAGAACCATGCCATTATCATTTCAAAGGGGCACTGCCAAGCCCATAAGTTGGGGGTGCTTGAGCCCCAACTTGTAGGCAAGTTACCACGCACAGTGATCAAGGAAATGTGTGCCAWGCACACTGCCAAGCCAATTAAGGCAAGTTGTGTAACAGTGGTTGAGGACACTTGTAGTAAAAAAGAAAAAAGAAAAGAAAAAAGAAAAAAAAGAAAAGCCAAAAAGAAAAAGGAAAAGGAAAAGGAAACATMGCACATCTTTCACCAAATTACAGCTGAGCCTGCCCAAAGGAGCAGCTGTTGGAGTATCTTCTTGAAGAAGACACTGGAAATAAATCAATCAAATCTGTCACTGCTACTACTAGTCACAGGGTTAAACACTTGGGGTTGTTGCTGTTTCTGTCCACCAAACAAGACAGAACCGACAACCAACGTGACTGGAAAGCACAGAGCTTCCGGTCCTTGAGAACTGGGGATGGATCCAGCTGAGGCAACCGACTCAACTGGGGGAATACTGGGGTTGGTGCTGTTGCTTTCCGGCACGGAGGTCGGAAACCACAGCAATCGTGACCAGAAAGCACTGAGCTTCCGGTCCTTGAGAACTGGGGATGGATCCAGCTGAGGCAATTGCACTCAACTGGGGTAATTAGTAGGACTGGAGTTGGTGTTATCGCTTTCTGGCAAGGATGCCGGAAACAACAACAACAACAACAACAACAACAACAACAACAACAACAACAACAACAACAACAACAACAACAACAACAACAACAACGTTGTGACCAGAATCTTCTTCCGGTCCGTAAAATACTGGAACTGATACTGAAACTGCATGGAGATGCTGGGAAATCTTCTTTAAAACTGAGTATGATGTAGCATATACTCCAGGCTTTGTTCTTCTCGAGGTCTTGGTTGAATACTGGGGCTGGGGTTGGTGTTCTTGCCATCCAGCACAGTGTCAGAACCAACAACAACAACGTCATGACCAGAATCTTTGTCCGGTCCATAAAATACTGGAACTGCATGGAGATGCAGGGGAATCTTCCTTAGAGTATGTGTGTAGCATGTACTCCAGGCTTGATTCCTATATCACACTTACTTGAGAGATAGGAACCAATGGCCCCCACAAGTTCTCGCTGATATTGCCTGGAAGTCCCTGCGCATTGCTATCAATCACACCTCCAGGAATGTGTTGGTCACTAAATGTTGCAACCACATCCTGTCTACAGCCACTGTTCTCAAAAGGTGGAATTACCAAAAGCATGATACTTGTTGTCTTTGCCAGATGCCTGAAGATTCTGAGCATCTCTTTAGATGTTCTCACCTATCATGACTCAGATGGCAAAGACAGACTATTACATCTCTATGACAACAGATGTCCACACTTGGCTTCCAGCCAATTTCCATTGACACCCTTGCTACATGTCTCACTGAATGGCTAGACACTGGCACAGTTTCTCCAGAGAAATATCCTAGTACATCCCTTCATCCAGTTATCCATTTCCAGAGTGAGATACGTTGGCACCACATGTTTGCCGGTCACATTTTGCTCCAGTGGGTTACTGATCTTGATATTCATTCCAGCTCTTACTCCCCACTGTGTTGGGGGGCTATCTCTTGGAATTCCTTCTTACCTCCTACTATATTATTATGGGAACAGCGAAATAAGGATCTCCATGGCTATACGGGTTCTCAGCAGCAAGCAACATATCGACAGCAGGTGTTGACAAAATTTAGGACTTTATTTGAACTGAAACCACAGACCTGTCTGTCACATGCTCACCTATTCCCAGAGGATATGGAAACTTTCTTATCCACTACATCTACTTCCATGCTCACATATTACCATCAAGTCTACAAGAAAACAATTCTAGCAAGTGTCAACAAAGCAACGCTTGCCTCTGTCTCCAACACTTGCCCTCTTACTCAGCACTTTCAAAATTTGCCTTGTAAACAACCACCAGAGAGCGTCACACAAGATGGGCTGGTCTTTGACAATCCAAGAAGAAACGACACAAACCCTCCGCATCACCAAAGATTTCTTTGGTCTCTGCTGCAACCAACTGTACCATGCAAACCACTATGAACAAATATTTCTGTTAATTCCCCAGCCCGAACAAAACCCTGGTTGCACCTCCATCAAAACTCCTAGGAGGGAAGTGCCGCCCCTTGGAGCAGCTAGAAGCATACTTTCCAACAAAAGCTATGGTTCTGGTCATATAGCACCTCTTCTAGTTCACAAGGTAGAAATAAAATTATGTTTTTTTTTTACTACTAGTCTTGGGCCTAAGTGCAGTTGTTCCTAACTGCTCTCAGCCTGAGTTATTGTAGCCTTGTCTTTCCTCCTTCCGTTATTGCTCTTGCTGGACTGGTGCCACGGGACGTTCTGGGCCTCTTGGTTGTACCGGCGTATGTTTGTACCCCTGTGGTCTGGGGTTGTAAAGATCTAAGCTGTCAGTTATTTGACCTTTCATAGTGTTTGCCAAAATTAGGATTTGACTAATGTGATTAGATCTACGAGTAGTGAAATGTGTAATGGTCTTGGGTTTATGAGGTGGCGTCTTGACACTGTTGACCCATTACTGTTTTGTGACTGGTTTTTCTCCTGTGTTGAAGGGCGGGGAAGGGGGTGAATCTTCCTGTTTCACATCATGACTCATCCTACCGTGGCAGTCCTTCACCGCAATACTTTTGAGAATGAGGCCGAGGCTTGTTAAGGTGTAAGCTATCATATTTGCGGGGTATCTGACTTTTTGCGGTGGTTATTTGTCTGTTTCTGTCTTCCGTCTGTACATTGTTTCCAATACTCAATGAAACTTGTCATGGCAGAATGAAGTCTAGTATACTATGCCAAAATTGACACTGTTTGAATAGCTCTATCTTGCACACTATACCCTACTACTTAATGTAATATTCAACATTGCATATCTCCTCTAAGATCTGAATTTAAGTACAAAATGAAGCATTACAACTGCCCAAATATTGAGCTTCTTATTTTCAGTAGTAAACAACAATGTGCTATTACTAGTAAGACACATATTTGAGGATAGACAACAAAGTAGAAATTAAGTAATACCACCAGAAGAAGGAAAGAGGGATACTGGTGATCCAGAACTCCATACTAGGGCAGGAACCCATTTATCACATGTAGGTGATTTTCCCTCATAGGCCTACTACTACTAGTAGTAGTAATGCCAATACACTAATATTAGTACTAGTAGTACTTGGTCACACTTCCACCAACACTCCTTGAAGGGAAGCACCGCCCCTTGGAGCAACTAGGAGTATACTTCACACCCAAACCTATGGTTGTGGCCATATAGTGCATATTCTAGTAGTTCACAAGGTTAAATGTAATATTTAGATTTTTTAATATTAGTAGTACTACTAGTAGTAGTACTAGTAGTAGGCTGTTGGTGGGCCTGCTACCACCTGCAAGAAGAAAGATCTGCTGCCTTCCCAGCCCATTGCTATGCATTACCCTGCAGTTCATCATGTGGTTATTCTTGTCTATTGGCCAGAATAGTTCTTTCATCAGAACATTCAGAATGTCCTGCAGCTTCTGTGCCTTTTAGTATTTCCACTTGATGTCCAGGTCCAGAACTCTTCACTGTTTGCATTTATCATCTCGACCCTATTATTTGCTAGGAATACTGAGCAACTATGCATGCTGCTGTAGTAGAATCCCCCACAAGACTGGCACTGAGTCTCATCCATACTGTACTGCACATTCAAGAGATACTGTTGGTTGCACTATCATAGGACTACTGTAGGACATGTGGTTGCTCTTTTTACCCAAAACAACAGTCAGGGCTCCAAAAACATGGGCCAAGCATTGTTAGGAAGAACTATGCTTGCTAATTCTGTTCATTGTCTCAAATAGAATACTTAATGTAACAATGGAGATTGCAACTTGCAATGCTGGCATTAAAAGTTCAATGAATAGAACAAAATCAAAATAACCCTAGCCAAACATTGTATTACATAACAACTAGTATGGCAGTTTTGGGCAGAGTTGATGGTGCAACCAGTGTGACACCACAGCCGCTGATACTGCATACTGCTCCACCATCAGATTGCCCAATCTGATGACCATGTGTGCATCCAGTCACAGATTGCCAATGCCCTTGGTATTCTTGACCAGGAAGTTGTACAAATTCAATTTGATCCCATCAGTGAGACCTTTGGTCTTTGAGAACGAGAATCTGGCTTGTGTTGGTCTTATTCACAATTTTGTAAATGGTCTCAAGCTGGTCAAATCTGTCATTATTCATAGACGTCCTCACCTTCCATTTGGGGTTGGATCTCATTCTACGCCTTCAAAACATGTGGGCTGAGATGAAAGTAGTCAAAAAGAAGGGTCTAGCACAACTCTGTTTTGATAAGAACAGTAAGAACAATCCCAGTGGTCCTGCCAGATATGGCTTTCTCATCATGTTGGATCAGCAACATAACTTCAATAAAGAAAGGAACTTGGCCAGGGCTATTGGTATGCAGGGAGGAATTAGAGCACAATGAGATGAAATATGAGGGGCTCTTAGAGGGGTTCATCTGGGGCATTTGCCTTGATTCGGTATCCCTAACCATCTGCAGGGATCTGGGACTTATTCTTAACCAGGTGATGGGAACATATATACAGTCAAGACCCACTGGCTTTAGGCCCTGTACCCAAAGGTCCATGCATTGCTGGAAAAGAACAACGAGGTGAGCATATTCCCTGCAACAAAAATGCCATCTATGAAAGCCTAGTAGCAAATATGGTGATCACCAACAAGAAGACAGTGATCAATGTCAACTGGCCAAATGTCAACGAACAAATAACAACAACACATGACAAATCATTTCAATAAGGTAGCAGTAGACAAAGGGGCACTTGAGATGTCTATTTCATTGGCTTCCTATTATTTGTGACACTAAAGTATTGATGAGTAAGAAGTCAAAATTTTGTTTCAAAATAATTCAATGCTGTACCCTCCAGTATGCACACTACTAGACTAAAATTGCTGCTACCCTGTTTTAGTACATACTACAAGTTTTGTAGCAGTTGCAGACCATCCTGTCTAGGGCGCAAATAGTTTTCATTTGAAGTTATGAACTTTTGCTTGAACATCATGTACCAGGTTCTACTGAGCTGTTTTTGGGAAACGACTGAATGGCCAGGACAAATTCCCCTCAAAACATACAAAATTGCTTGGGGTCATTCAATCAACTTCTCAACCATGAATGCCATCCATTAATTACTAGCTCAGTAGAGCACAGTAGAATTTCTACTATGGCATTTGAAGTTCTTGACTTCAAATTGATTCATATTAAAACTTTTTGCACCCTGGGCAAGATAGTGTGCAATTGTTACAAAACTTTTAGTAATATTCAGAAAAGATTATGATACTGTACTAAAGTACAAATTACTTTTTATTTGGCCTAAATCCAGTGATCCATTCACTGTAAACTACTTCTTGAATAAATGCACCAGCTTGAAGGTGAGTATTGGTAGTAGTAGCACTGAACAATCATCAAAACTTGATAATATATTTGACCTTGTAAACTGAACAATGCTAGGAATGCCAGAACCATTATGCTTGTGAAGAACAATGCTCCTAGTTGCCTGAGGGAGCAGCACATGCAAATGAGCATGGATATAGACAGCATATTCCAGTGCACTGGGATTTATTGAAGAATCAGATCAGTGTGCTGGTTTGTCAGGTCAGGAAATGAAGATTGGGAGGAGCTAGTAAATTTACAGGCAAGTGCTCCTGGTGCTTATTAGTGCATCTTGTCTGGCACTCTCTGGTGGTTGCTCATTAGACATAAAAGCAAATACTGGGTGATAGGGTATGTGTTGGCTGTCAAAATGGTAGCCGCTGCTGAAATGCTCTTGTGTATGAGATTTTTGTATAAACTGATATGGTGCACCAAGGTGATAGTTGGGGCAGAGGGAAAGTTAGGCTCCAGGGTCTCCAGCAGGAATTAAAACTGCTTGTGATGGACACAGCTGCTATGGATGAAGAGAAAGCAGATGAGAAACAAACCTTCAGATCACCAGTAGCACTTTCCTCTTAAAAAGTGTGTGGCCATAAAGATCTTTGTTGTATTCAAGGCAAAGCAGTTGTTGTGAAGACCAAAGTCTATTTCATTGGGGAGAGAAGTTTGTCCCAAGAGAGGTACTGTCATAAAATCTCAGTCTTAGAGTTTATTGCTGAATGGAGGATGATTGACATACTTAACACGGCAAAGATGAGTTTCCTCACAGGGAGGTCATTGATGGAAAATTGATATCCAGTTGGTAGTGTGGACTGAGGAAGATGCGATACTCAAAAACTGGGAAGGGAAGGGCACTCAAAGGCAGGTAGTGAATTATATACTGGTACTGCTTTTCTTCCAGGCAGAGATTCTCAAGCTAATGACTCTCTGAGTGGGGGTCCAATTTTGGCAGAAACCACTGCATCTGATTTCCAGATACCTGACCTGGGGTCTGTTGGCACTTGTTCACTGCTTGCTTGGACACAGGTAAATGCTCAATGTACTACCAGGATGGGCGGAAAAATAATATTTTTTAATCAGATTTGTTTCTTGTGATGAAAACCAACTGTCACAACTTTCAGTGTCAGGCATGGGACATAGTAGGAATGCATATTTTCAAGATTATTGGCTGGAGAAGGACTCTCTACAGAATAGTACTTTATTAACGTGGCAGCAACAATTGATGGCAACGTCACCAAATACTGTAATGTTTTCAACAAACTATTTGTTTGATAAATTGTGTGGAAACTCGGTTCAGCTTCCAGCTTTTCAACAAAGGCTCCGAGATATTTCAACCCCTGGCTCTACTTTTATCCAGTAGGACTAAGGGTGCGAGACCTTGTACGGGTAAACATGCGTTGCAACACGGCTGTTTCGTCCATTTCAACATCCATATGCCTTGGATTAATTCGAGCGATATAGATGCTTTCAGTTCCAGTTTTTGTCCCAGTGACAGTTGATGCATCAAAGATACCTCTAGCCCCTTTAATGGTTGCTCCGTCTTCTACTATCTCTTCACTTCCTAGACGTTGAACGAGAGTTTCTAATTGTTGAAAATAAGCATTGATGACGAATGAAGTTACGACATTCGAAATCACAATCACACCCATGAGATGAAAACTGAAGAAAAAAATCCGAACCCATTTTGCTCCAGTGACGTATTCAAAACCTATTTCGCACTCTGTCCAGTTGTTAACAACCAAAAGATTGAACAACACATTCATACCACTGAACATGTCATTAAAATCTAGGTTTGGGTGGGGAATATGTAGGCAAAGTTTTCTGTGAGGGCACACGGCGTCCAAAGCGATGGCATCGTAAATGTTCAAAATCGTGATGAGCTGCTACTCACTATTGGGCCAGTAATCATTGTCAACGAAGTCTGATGCTTCTAGGAGGGTATACGAAAGTGGGTTATCGGGATCGCGAGTAATTACTTCGAAAACGCAAACAAGAAAAAATAAGCTTGAAAAATCAGAATCGGTGATGGAAGAACAAAATGGAGACACATCGCCATGATGATATAGAGAACACTTACATCCTCCATATAGAGACATGCCAACCCAGGCGTAAAAGTATCCAATAAACAAAAGTATCATGAATACACTAGTTGCTGCTGGCAAAATATCAAGCGTAATTGTTCCGAACATCTGAAACGGAGCCTGCGAAACAAAAAAGAGACGTCCAAGACGAAGGACTCGAACCATAATGACAAGCTGAATTATGCGAGTACTGCTGTATCCGTTCGAATCTGCAGTCACCCAAGCAGAAGAACTCGCATTGTAAGGATTTCAAATATTTGGAATTGGGCGTGCAAAAAGACGACGGGGTTGACTTTCAACTTACAATAAACGTATACAGTTACAAGCAATACCAATACCGTGACTCCGAAGTCGAACAGGTTTCGCATAGATTCAGTATACCTTTTCCATCCTTCGATTAGTATCTTCAAAGCAGCTTCGAGTACGTAGACAACTGTAAATATTGTTTCCATTAATTCCCAAACAGTGTCAACATGTCCATCTTCAAAGTGAGGATTTCCTACCACATCTTGTCCTGACAATATCGGGTAATCTTGAAATGCAACTACCACTGCATTCAAGACGAGGACAGCGTCAATGAAATATTCAAAAGTTTTCGACCTAATAAATTTAACCAGACCTTGATACCAATTTGTTTCGTTCACTTGAGGTAAATGGCGCTCCACGAAACTTTTATAGTCAGATTCCTTTGTCAATTTCAGAAGGAGAATTTTACTGAAATCCAAGAACTCAACTAATGAAATATCCGACGATCCGTCTTTGTCGAGAAATGCAAAAACAATACCTTTTTCATCCCTGGAAAGCCTGCGAATCTCGGGAACGTCCTGATTCAAAATGAACATGACAGCCATGATGGTTTCACGGCTTACTGCGTCATTATTTTCAGGATCCAACATCGCGTATGCTTTTTCCAGAAGATTTCTAGACAAGTCCTTTCGATTGCGTTTTCGTTCTGCAATGCTGTCGTCATACCTGGATTCTCAAGTTTGACAAATTTTAGGAGCTCGGAGCGATTAGATTGCGTTAGAGTAAGTGAAATCAAACACAAAACGACGAATAAAAGACTTACAAATTTACAGTTACAGCGAGAACGAGATTCATCAAATAAAAGAAAGAAATAGTCATGAAGCTTACGAAATATAAAGCTGCGACTCTGTTTTCATTATAGGAAGGCATCATAACGTCAGGGTAGTTGGCAGTAGTGATGCAGATCCATAAGGTCCTAAAGAAGAAAGAACGATGTGAGAGAATGACGTAGTTCATGTTTAAGACGCGTATTTTTTCGTTCTACGCACCATATAGCCTCAATTAGGTTTTGAAAACCACTGGCACCTTGCTCTGTTCCATGAAATATCACCACACCGAACCATGCATAGAAAATTACAACGATAGCTAGGATTGTCAGAATATATCCCATTTTAGGGATCTATAATATAAATCATAATATCGAAATGAGAGAAATTGCGTCAGTTCTTTTTCGTTAGCCAATCACTCCATCTTGCGATCAAACATAAAAGCTCACCATTTTTAGCATTATCCAAAACTCTCTCTGAAAATTTCGCAGGTGGGTTCCAAGTATCATCATGCGGAAAAAAGGATTAAATATTGTATTTCCGACGACGTTTCCAGCAAAAAGGCAAACTAAGATGACGAACTGTGAACCATGCATCCATCGCTTGAATCCAGGGTAGAAATAGAGACGAGGGCTGAAGCCATCGTCGCCCATCTTCAAAAAATTGAAAAAGGCGATTGCGAAGATGCAGATCAGCTCCACACGTTTTGATTGTGAAACCGACAACAGCATCGAATTTGAGCTAGGATAGTAATCTTGATTCTCATCTCCATCTGCTGCTGTGCCTATCGCTCCTAGAATCAATTGGCAGTCGCCATACTCGCTAAGGTCATCATTCAGGTTGCCTTTAGCAATGACCAGATCCGAATCTCTGCACCAGTGCGGAGGTTCCAAAAAAGAAAGGATGAAAAGAGCCCAGTTGGCAGCTAGCAATAGCCGTTTGATCCAGTAGTAGGCAATGAATCTTCCACATACGATGCTAACCATATTGCGAACTACTGAATCAGGGTTGGCATAGGGGTCGTAAAACCCTTCGTAAGGTGCATCCTGTGCGGGATAAACAAACCGAAACAATCCAGTGCATGTTTCAAGGAGAAACATCAAATTCAAGAAAAACGAGGTGAGAAAATGATAATTTATTTTAATTCACAGAGATAGTAAGAGCGAGAATATTTGATTCATAAGCATACTGTATTAGATTCGCTACTTCGTTGTGTTTGTATTGCGGTATCGTACCTGATAACCCAAAACGGCATCCTTGATCATTGATGCCGCCGGACCGACACCCAACTCTTTTAGAGCATGCTGCCGTTCGGTGGTAGAGAATGATTCTAGTAATCGGTGCATCGATGCTCGAAAGGACGAGCCACCCAAACTGTTCGGCTTCTCTTCCGGAGATATGTAAGAACCATCCGATTCCTTGGAAACCAAAGGAACCTTCTCTTCATTACTCATGGCGTATGTTTTCCTTTTCGTTGCAGTGAAATTTAGCTTTGGGAGGAAAAATAACAATCCAAAGAACAGTATAATGATCCGCTCAGGCTGATACCATCTATTATCTCAATGGTGTTCATAAGCACTGTCATTTCGAGTCAGATTCTTTTGTCAAGTTAACTTTCCAGCAGTAGAACCCATACTGTTCGCTTGTCATGCGGTACGGAATTGTTATCGCCACAAATTCGAACTACTCCACTGAAGATGGGGAAGAGAAATTTTTTCCCCAATAGTACTTTAACTCCAATCCGTTTGGTTGGGATGAGACATGGAAAGTATCATGAAGACGATGATTCGTATTATCTCATACTTAAGTGAATCTCAACAGAATTATTTTCTATGCCATTCGCCAAAAATATGTCATGTATCCTATTGCCCGCCGAACTAACAATTTGACGAAGCATTTAAAGTAAAAATACTCGTGATCCAGATGGTGATAACATGATTATCTTGCTCTCTACAACGGTACCTCTCTATGTAGCACTTTGATGCCGAACGAACTCAGAATTCTGTCATGTTCAGTACCGTACGAACTGTAGAATTACGTAGGAGGAGAGGCTATCATCATTGTTTTCAAATGTTGTGGGTTTAAAAATTCACCAATTTCTTCCCTCTGTTACCCTATCACAACCTCCAAGTGAAGTAATAGCCATTACAAGCTGTCCACACTGTAGCAGAAATTGTTCCAGATCTTTTTTAGTATTACTACTACAGTAATACTAGCTATCCACCTTGTTGTTGCTGTTGTTCTTTTTCTTCTCCTTCTCCTTCTTGTTGTTGTTCTTGTTGTACTCTCATCCTGTATGATTCAGATTGATTGAATACACTACTAGGAGTGCTAGTAATCATACTACAATGACAACTGGATGATTTTGGAAGGCAAGTCCTTGTCATTCCATGACAATAATCAAATTATCTTGTTAGTACTATGCTACTAGTACTACTAGTACTACTAGTAGTAGTAGCTATTTTCTTGCTACTAGTAGTACTACTCCTAATACTAGTACTACTACTAGTAATACTAATAGTATTAAGACTGACATTCACTTGCAGTTGGATAAGGCCCTTAGGAATGGTGTTCAAAAGCTGGTCCTAAGGGGGACTAGAACTAGAATGGATGGACTACCAATTAACCAGCTTCTTAGAAGAGGAGTTGTTCTAGAAAGGAGAGGATCACAGGCTCAGCAGATGGGACAGGCTCAGTGGCAAGGACCAGCTCACCAACAGAGAGGACCAACTACTCCTCAACAGCAACAGCAGCAGCGTGCCCCTTTTCAGGAGCCTAGACCAGTTGCTTTTTTTGCTAGTAGTGATAGACATAATGGAAGGCACTACAGCAATCGAAACTATAGTGGTGATCGCAGTCACAGGAATGACCTTGGGGGTGACAGGGGGCTAGCTAGATTGCCAGCAAAGTATGCTCCTCTTGTTTTGCTTCTAAGAGCTGTCTCTGACCAGGAGTAGAATGCTGCTGAAGCAGTTCAACAACAAACAATTGATATCACTGATAGTAGGACTAGTAGAGAGGGGGAGTACACACCTGTTGTTGCTAGAACCATTCTTCCTCATTGCATTCATAATATTACTAGCAATTTCAGGCCTGTAGCAGCTCACAAAGAGACTTCTCCCATTTAGGTTCAGTTGAGGCAGCAGTCCCTTTTTCAAACTACAACTCAAGACAACAGTGCTGCAACTTTAAATGCCCTTGATGAGATCAATCAACTACGACTACATTCCTCTAATAGTGCTGAGAGGGCTGCTGAAAGCCTGAAGACAGACATAGAAGACTTTGTGGCTATCTTAGGTGGTGGTGTAGCCAATAAGTTGTCAAGAACCTTGACTTAAATGCTGAAGGTAAGTCACTGCAAGAGTGAGAGCTGGGATGCCAGTAGCTACTCCTGTACAAGCTGCTCATGTGCCAGCTGCTCATGTGCCAGCTGCTTGTATGTCAGCTTGGATGCCAGTAGCAGCAGCGGGGGGATCAATGCTGGATACTCAATTGCCACCAGCTCCTTGGTTGAATCAGCTGCTAGAATGCATGATAGAGTGCCAGCAACAGCAAGGAAGCCCGTGCAGCACAAAAGCCTCCTCCAGGGCAGCAAGGATGCAATTGAAATGAGTGGTAAGGAGAGTAGCAAAGATAGGAAAACAGTCAACAGTAGTGACAGCGGCTAAGGATAGAGCAAAGAAGAGAAGAGCAAAGGAGCTATTTGACCAGAATCATGCAAAGCATTTGAAAGAACTGGAGGAGAAATGGAAGGCTCAGATGAAGATGCAGAGGAGTGCGGGTAGTAGTATCAGCAGCAGTGGTAGTGGAAGTTGTAGTTGTAGTGGAAGTGGAAGTGGGAGCAGTTCATCTAGTACAGTTAGTAGTAGATATCTTTTGCCATAAACATAAACTCTATATAAATGGTGCTGCTGTAGTAGACAGACAAGGCAGGATCCATCCCTCTCAAGCTTAAGTATGATCACTTGATTCAATGAGCTGCTAGTAGATCCAATTCGATTGGTCTAGTTGATTAATCTGAATCAATTGAGTATCCAAGGAAGAAGCCGCAAGGCAAGATTCTCTAGACACTGGATTTCAAGCTCCCCCAGTGAGATTGAATTTCCAGAGGCCCAGGATGAGTTGCCACTCCAGCAAGCCATTCCCCAGGGGTTTCCTCCAGTCCACCACAGCTAATCTCCAAATTCACCACACTTGCTGAAGCCCATCAAGGTGCTGTTGTTGCTGTTTCCTAATCATACTAGTAGTTGCCATCCAATCTGCTGTATCCACAATGATCAAAGGTAGCATCAACCTCTCTGATAGACCTCCCAGCCTACCTGTAAAACGCTGCTTCAAGATCACTGATAGTCCAGTTAGGCTGGGCCTCTCTGGATATTGCTGAGACAAGATTATAGATCTTGAATTTAATGGGCCCATACTTTGACTAGTATGTAGGCCAAGGGATAGCTCTGAATAGAGTTGGTTTTGGATCTGGTCTAATCCTTTTCAGTATTGCCAGGCAATGGATTGGTCTCAATATCCTTGCAAATATGCTCAATAATGTCTGCAAAGATKGGAGTTGAAGTCCCCACTTGTTGGATCACATTTATCCACCTCCTTGGATTTTGGATGTTCCCTTTAGTTGCTGGAGGTAAACATGGATCCCCCAGCTCCATAGCAAGAATGATAGTGAGTTTCAGGGTCCATTGAGAAGCTTCAAGGATCCTTGTTGCTCTAAAGAACTTGAGAGCAATCAATCCCTTTCTTGCTCTTGCTCCTCTTGATCATATCCATACCAAACTTGTCTACATCATTTAACCTCATCCTTCTAGGAACTCCCATTTCTCCCAGAGGAGGAGGCTTGGTCCAAAAGATCTTTGCCCTCAACATACTCTCTGGAGTGAATGCTTTATAGGCTCCTTTAGAGGCTACCTTCATTGTAAGTTACATCTTGTTCATCCTCCTGCTGACGACTGCACTGGAGTAGATAGGTCCTCCCATGTTGAAAATAAAAGTTGCTATCTCATCATTGCTTGCATCTGGATAGATCCAAACAACCAAAACCATGTTAAAGAGATTGCACCCCACCAGTTTGCCCTGGCTCCTAGTAGTATTGTCAGTTCTCCTGTAGTGCTCAGGCCTCTGTCACCATCTACTAAGCAAGGCTGCACTAGCCATTACAGGAGGAAGACCAGCCTCCTTCCTTGCCAGTTCCATCTGTCTAATGTGGCCATCATATCCTCAACTCCCTCCCCTAGAAGGATGAGGCCTCTCAGCTCTCTCTTGTTGTGTCATTTGGGTTAGACCAGCATTGGCTCTTATCTTTGCTATCTCATCTGCTGGATCCTTTCTGCTGTTTGTTCCTCTTGACATCCTTGTTCTTCAAAAAACAAGCTACACTCAACATGCTACATAGTTGGTTATTTGCTTGTTTGCTACAGTTCAAGGCTTGTTAAATTGACAATCAAAGAGAGCTATTGATTGATACCAAGAAAAGTAAGAAAGAGCAAGTGTAAGTGCTTGAAAAGCAGATTCCCATGGTTGATTGCTTTGAACCAAGGTGGTTTTTTAGAATGAAAGAGGAACAGTTTGTTGAGGATCAGTCTTGTGGAGGTATTTTTTGGTGGGCCACACTAGGCTCCAGTAGGATTTTGAACGCATGGTAGAAACCAGTTGATTTTGACCAAAAACTATGCAGTGCCCTTGATTTGCATATTTTCTACAGTGTTCCTGAACAGATTTTGTACTACATTCCTCCCAAAAGACACTGATCCTTGTCCTTGCTGAGCAGCTGGATCAGCAGCTGCTGGCCTGCTGGCATGCCCCACCAGATCTAGTACTGAATGTATGTAGGCCTACTTGTTAGCTAACGTAGAGAATGATGACTTCACATTTCATACCTTAACACTAACATATGGAAAGTCAATTTAACGTTCCCAATGGGTGATAGCTGTAGACATAAAATCTATGACAACATACTTTGCGTCTATGACTCATGACTTAACAGGAATAAATATGTGATTACATAGATTTGTGTGTCATAGAATATGTCTTGCTACATGTGCTAAATTTGGAATAAGGAATTTTGCTTGATTGAGAACACATGGTGCCAGCAAGCAAACACACACACACAACTTAAGAATTCTTGAATCCCAGATTCCAAAAAAGTATGTATGTGCATACATACTTTTGGTTGAAGTGAGCCTCTGACAACCAAAAATCTATGTATTTGTGTCAAAAACACATACTTCTATGTGTGCATATCTGAAGTATAATTCAATTTTACTTAAATCTATGTTTACAGGAATCACCCAATGCCTTAATGGGTTATTCCTGTTAATCTAGATGGTCTAAAAGTCTAAACAGTCTACTTTAGACTTTTTAGTTTAAAGGGAATAATTAAAAACAAGGTCCCAACGGACAGTTTTTTAGGCACTCTTCTACTCTTACTAAGGAATCCAGAATCTCAACAGAAATGACTAGGACTGGAAAAGCGCACCCGCACTTTTTTGGGTACTAAGTAAAACACAAATTTTTCAATTACCATTCCTACAAGAACTAGTACTTGTGTACTAAACAGAACAAGCCCTCTCATAAATTTGAGCTCTTCCCTAAACAAAAGACCATGCTTCCCTTCCAGAAAACAAACAGGACACAATG